TTTTAAAGATGTTGACCACCTTAGTTTAGTAACTAAAATATCAGGGCTGATATTGGACAATAATTATGTTTTTAATATTAAAAGCTGGTTCAGCTCCATTAGTCAAGCCATGTTTTGCACTGCTGAAAAGAAGCAGCGGATGTGTTTGAATACTCACGCAGGAAAATTGTTGGGAATTTTACAGATCAGGAAACCGGTCAAAGTGATAAGAACAAAACCACTCTACATCATGGTGCACAAACATTGGCCTGTACTCTAGATTATAGTGTTTTTAATATGGCTTTGTTTAAAACAAAGTGGTAATTTAATGCCTGAAGGCTGTGTTTTGGACTTTAGCTTTTGTCTAGCATTTTTATTTTTTGTCTAGCTTGTTTAGCTTTTGTCTGGCTTTTGCACTGCAGCACCACAGAGATGGATGCCCAGAATCAGAGTATTGCTACTGTATGCACTTGGCTCAGAGAGAGAGATGTGCATTCATCCATTGATTAAACATGACTGTGGCGTCCGGGAAGAGAAGGGAATGGAGATGGAGGGATCATTAGAAGGGAGATTCATCTGACCCGGTGAACTTTTATTGACCGGCGATGGCGTAGTAGGAATAGACTCGTCTTATTCCTCCGACCGCCCTGTTGTGACAGCTCACAGTTCCATAGCCGGTCAGTGCGTCAAGGCAATGAGAGTAGTTTATCATAGAGAGAGGCTGTGCAGTGGGAGACGGTGGAACACATTTATCAGTTTGAATGCTGTTTTGAGTTTGTGCCTTGCATGGATAATTAGAGGCTGAAACATTGTGGTTATGGTGTGTATGAAGGGTTATGAAGCTCTGACCTCACATTGATTGTTATAGTTCTCTAGAAAACAGTTCAGGGCATGATAATTCAAATTTTACTGCTATAAGTTTTTGATTATTGTGATATGATTCACAATTATATTTAAAAATAAACTGAATAAACAAATGTGACTGGAGGAACTCTTTGTAGTGTAATATAAATCCTAAAAACAATACAGGAAGCTTTTTTATATGTCTGTTTTTAATGTTTTGTGTTTGTAACAGACTGAGAATTTTATTTTGACCAAAAATGAGCACACACACTTTATTGAACAGAATTATTGACTGAAACATTGCAAAATTGCTGCATTTGATGTGTAATGCACATTTTTAACAACTTGTCTTTAGCTGCAATTTTCTGTGCATGTATCTCTGTGTTTATCTGTGATTGTGTGAGTGTATTTTTGTGTATTTTATCTGTGCATGTGTGAACTGTATGCTCATACCCTAAAGCTGGGTCTAGATGCTGATTGAGCTGATGGGAGCTAGGGAGGGCCAGGTGCCATGTGCTCATCCTACAGAAAAAGCTGATTAGAAATGACAGTCTGTGACATTCAGTAAGAATGCGGCCAGAAAGGACCCATGAAGTTCACTAGACTAGAAAACAACTGCGCTGTCGTCTGGCTCAAACAAGTCTTTTTCCGCTCTCCACCGCTCCAGGGAAGGACTGCTACAGAAAAAAGAAATAAGGACCTCCTGGTTTTTCTCCTTCTGAAAGCACCTCTCAATCCTGTCTGTTCATCTGCTTTGGTCAAAGTATGGACTCCGTCATTGATCATGCTGATTTCATGATGTCTTGTCCAGCCTTTAGCTCTGCTCTTGTTGACCTCATGAACTCTCTTCCTTCTTATTTAAATCTTAACATTTAAAATGATTTCTGGTCATCTGGATTTATACATTCCAACAAGGGATATCAAGTTAACTAGAAAGTTTACTGATCACAAATAGGACACAAGTCTAGAATTTCGTCCAGAAAAAGGTCTGAATCATTCGCCGCAGTTCAGGCAGCTTTCCATCAAACTAGCTCAAACTTTATTTTTGGCTTCAGATATTTCTGAAGTGCTTGACAGCACAACTCTGTATGCCTGCTGGTCTGCTCCATCCTGCTCTTTTCTCCCTCTGTCACGTTTCACTTGAACTTTCCCTGACGAAATCAATCCACCCTTTATACCAAACCCGACTTCAATCACCTTCACTGCTAGGAGTCAGCTGCTAAAGAGCTCAGCCCACGGTATCAGTGTGCCACTGCCAGTCACAGTGATTTCAGCCAAACCATTTTAGGTTTTGTAATTATTGCCACTGTTCGTTAATTTATGTTTATTTATAACCCAGTACACTCAAATGTTTGTATGTTAAGCTGAGAGCACCTACTTCGGGAGAACAAAAAAAAACTAAACGACCCTTGTGTATGTGTGTGTGTATATATATATATATATATATGTATATATATATATATATATATGTATGTATGTATGTATATATATATCACCCTGATAGAGATGCACCGTTACCAGTTTTTCCCTTCTGATACCATACCGGGCTGATACTGAGTACCCCGATACTGATCCAAACCCTATCTAACCTAACTCACACAGAAGTCCCAGAATTTATACATACATTTTAAAATATTTTTGCTTGGTAAAATCTTTGCTCTGCGTCACAAATAAAACACACTCAGCTTTGCTAGATGGCATTTACTTTTTGGATTATATTTAATTGATGTTTAAGAAAACTTATTTTTGTTTATTTACTGTATATATTTAGTATTTACTGTTATCTAATTATTAATAACCACGTTTATCTACTTAAGTAAATGTAAAATATCTTTATTGTGCAAAACAGTGAAAAACAGAACTGAGCAGTATACACAAACCATCAGCACACAGCATCTTCTTTGGCTCAAAAGCGGAGCTGAATGTTGCTTCAACATTAAAATTTCTGAAGTCATTTGTCTCATACATGCGTCTTGTTCACTGCATCTCTGATCGTCAGTTCAATAAATATCACCGTCATTCACGCTGTCAGTATTAGCGACTTTGTGTTTTTTCTGGTGCTGAGTGATACAGCTGACCGATGGAGGAGCACCGCAGGCAGGGCTAGTGGATGCAGAGGCCCAGCTAGCGGGTTGCTATGCTAAAGGCTAAATTGAGACTAAAGGCTATCAGTATGCCACGAGAGTCCAGCGGTTTCTTTCGCTCTTTCAGTAACATTATCTCAGACTGTAAGTGACCACACAGCAGCAGATGAGTGATTACTGAAAGAAGCAGCTCAGCCGTTCAGGTAAGCGGCTCCGTTAGCATGTTGTTAACACCAAAAACTGCCGTTACAGATTCTGCCGTGAGCGTTTTTACTGCTGCATGTCATTGAAATATGAAAAATGGTCTAGATTTTTGCTTGCTACTCATTACTAATATATTAACTCAGTACTAATTTGCTAATTTGATGAGGTTACGACAATCTTTGGCCAGCACATCACTAAATGTAAGCCTTAGACATAAGAGATTGAGTTTTCCTGACACTGTAAATACGTTAGCTCTTTTCTCAGCGTCAGTGAGCTTCCCTGTTTATCTTTGGCAATTTCATATTCATCCCGGCCCTGTCACACCAGCCCTCACAAGATTAGAGGCTGATTTAGAGCTTTTCTGATTTGTTTACATCCTCAAATCCTTTAAAGCTAACTTCCATTTTTTCATTCTGCGAGCTCCAGTCAAGACTAACACTAATGAAATGCCAGATTTAGGTTATGTGCTCATACATGAAGGGGATTTATTATGGCCAATGCTACAGATATTAGCTACTCATGCTTTCATGCTGGGAAAATAGAACATCTCATTCAGATGCCCTTGTGACTTTTTTGCTCCGTGTTAAAGTAGCAGAACTCTCTGTTCAAATTGCCCTGAAAAAAAGTGTTTAATAATGCTGTTCTTTCACTGCTGGCTCAGAAGAGATAGTCTGGTCAAGAAATGTCATTCTGACACTTGTCTTGAACTGATGGGGCACTGTCATTCTGACATGACTTCTGTACATAATAAAGTACTTTGACCGGAATCTAAGGTCACAGGCCTAGGTTCACAAAATGTAACATTTATAGCGTTAAATAGTAACATCAGGACATCAAATAGTACTGCATTAAATGACATTAGGATCTTCACCTTCTGAGGGAAAAGAAAGGAGTGAATTTGGTACGTCTAGACATGTACATATAGATGTACTGTGCAAAAGTCAGAGAACACACTTTAGTTCATTTCATTTCCAAAATTTTTCAGAAAATCTTAATGAAGAGTGATGCAAGACATGATGTACGACCAAAACTGTCACTGTCAGATAAGCAGTACAAAAAGTTTTCATCTTCGAGAGAGAGGAGAAAATCAAGCTCCACTTTTGCTTCAGTTCTGAAAAAAATCCACAAGTGTTTCTGTCCATCTTGTGAGAAGACAGCTCAACATTGTTGGTCTGAAAGGATGTATAGCTGTCAAGAACCCATTATTAAGAAAAGGAAATACATAAAGAAGACAAACTACAAATCTAACAAAGACAGTGCTGCAGTCATTGGACAAACCCAGAGCCTAGACCGTAACATTATTGAATGTATTTGGGATTACTTGGATTGTAAGAAGCAGAAAATTTCATTTAAAACCAAGTTCTTTGAAAAACTAAAACCAAGTCTCCCAAAAGAATGGAAGCTGTGATAAAGGCTGGGAGTAGACACTCTAAATACTGAAAATTTATTAAGTTAATGTTTTCAGCTTTCCCCCACTGTGATGCAATGAAATCTTAACGCACATGGCCTTTTGAATAGGGTTGTTGGTCATTACCTGTGGGCTTCTTCAGCCTAAATAGACAGAGCAATCACAACTCCTCTAAATGTGATGTTTTCCTACTGCTGTAACAGTAAAGTGTATTGTGTTTGTGTGTCTTCTCTGGTTTCAAGTCAGGAGACAACAGCATTTTTCCACCTGTGTTTGATAAGCTGTTTATGACCTTCATTCCAGGTAGCAAGCAGGCTTTGTAATTACAGAGAAAGAACTTAAAACAGTGTTTTTGAGGACTGCTAGATGGATTATGACCATGCTTCTAACGGGGACAGTCTTGTCAGCTGTAGATCGTAAGCTTGTGGTTTTCTGTCACATTGGCCAGCAAATGCTAAAAGAGGTTTGCTCTTATCTTTCAGAGTCTTCCTGCGAGCCATCAATCAATACGCCGCTGTGCTGAACAAGAAGTTCCTGGACCAGACGAGCTTTGAGCTTCAGGTGAGTGTTAATCTCAAATAAATGGGTTATGAGAGAGAGAGGGAGACAGAGAGAGAGAGAGAGCACAATGCAATAATAGTATCTTTAATTCACATTATTTATATGTGGACGTGTACATTGTTCATCTATATTTTATCAGTCAAGTAAAATAATTTGCAGATTTCAGACCCCACTGGGCAGTTGCCGCAATTTTCAGACCAATATGTTGAACTGTGTCAACATGAGCATGTCCCATGATTTCCTGCTAGTAAATCAAAGCTTATGCTTGGCCCTCTTTCAGCAGGTCCTGAGTAGGCCTTTAAAGTAAACTGCTTTTACTAATGCCTTTCTCTCACTGTATGAAAAATGCAGCGACAAAAAATAGTAAGTTTATGAAAAGAAAAGTTTGCAGGCGTGACAATCCTCCTCCTACAAGCCCATCACAACTGGTGTGTGTGTGTGGGTATGAGGGAGAAGGCGAGACACCAAAGGGCGGAGGGAACCCTCAACGACATTCTCATAGCCTGCAATTTTAAAGAGTACTGTTTGAATATTTTAAAGAGGTTCTCTCGTCGCTGTCTGGTTCTGTTTGTGTTATGTACTGGCTTAACCATTGGATAATGGACTCTTATCTTGCGTGGAGAATAATTCAGACCAACAGATCTGTAAGCTTCCGTCGAGGTCATGAATGTTGCACTCTGAAGAGAGAAAAAGACAAAAGGAAAAAAAAAACAGCCTAGAAAAGGTTATAGCAAACAGACTCTGCTGCTGATGTTCACTTTAAATTAGCTTCCCATTCGCTGCTTTAACTAATTGTAAGTTATATTATGAGCTCCTTTTAAAAGATTACAAGGGCATGTATTTATGTAATAATGACATACTCATTAAAAGAAACCTAAATTTAATGCCGGTCCATGGACTTATTTTCCAGTTTTTCACCAAATGAAGTAATGTAATAGAACACTACATAGTGTTGATTTGCAACTAAATTTATCATTTTATAGATTTGGCTATTTCCTGAAATACATTTCTCGCCACAATATCTGATGCTGACCTTTCTCTGATCACAGCCATCTTAGGCAAACTGGGCAGTAGCCAAGGCCAATCACCCTCCCTTCCAAGGGGCAATCCCTTTTTATTTTTTATTTATTTACAGATACAATGTCAGATACAACAGTTACAATGTCTAGTAAAAATATTCACCCCAAAGTACATTCAAATCTTTAAGTAAATACTATCATATGGTGACACGACCAGCCCCTGGACTTGATGGCCAAATCATTTCAATCATTTGCAAAATCATTTGCATTTCACTACTCCTCCTATCAAAAATGCATATCTTGTGTAAAACATTTAAGACTATATGCTGAAAAAAGTAAAGCTGTTTAAGTATAGCCAATTGCTAGGCCAGGCAGTCATAAACACATTTCCTCTGAACTCCTCCTACACAGGCTGTGTCACTCCAGTTTTAAAAGGGTTTCAGTGCTGAGTAGTGTTAGAGAAAATGAGATGGGTAACACTTTGACGAGCCAGTCATGTCATGTGTTAACGCAGTGACGAATAGTGATGAGACCAGCTGAAAATGGAACTAAATATGTTGCTGTTTATTAGGAGAAATGGCACAAGAAATAATCAAGAACTCATAGACTGAACATGTCATAGGGAACTTGTCAGATCTTGTCTTATCTTAGAGCTTAAGATAGGACATTTCTGTAATAAAGACTCTGGATAAAAATGTTAGCCCCATTAGCTGTGAATGCACTACATTGTCTGAAAATATGCTCATTTGAAAGGTTGTGCAATGTCAGCAAATCGCAAATTAACTAACCACGGCGAGCTAGTTAGTTAGTTAGTTAGTTAACATTCAGCTCAGACAAATTCTGGCAGTGACTGTTAATATTAACACATATTGAAGTTACTACAAGAACAAAACTCTGCCTAGGGTGCCCATAAGCCAAGACCCTGACCCTGTGTTGGATAGTGGTGCAACAGATGCTATTTTGCTGATTCAGTGGTATTACTTTTTAAATCGTTTACGGGCTGCCATGTTTAGGTTGTTCAAAACAGAAGCAATGTAACAAAAATTAAATGCATTAAAACTATGGATCATAGCTTGCTTTGTCCTTTGATAAGTAAGCGATGATTTACTTTTTCTCCCTATTTCAGCTCTGGAATAACTACTTCCACCTGGCTGTGGCCTTCCTTACCCAGGAGTCTTTGCAGCTGGAGAACTTCTCAAGTGACAAACGAGCAAAGATCTTTCACAAGTGAGTATTGAGCTTATGTTTGTAACGCCGGCAGGCAACTCTCAGAGCCTGCACTCTTCTCAATAATACATCATATACACCCTTAGACACAGGGAAAACCCTACAGTGAATCACTCTACTCTGTAGCTGTGTGTATGAATTTTTTCCCTGATATTTTGTGGAAGAGATGTTTCAGCACCTGTATAACACTGTATGTGGCATATAAAGGACACATTTCATAGTCTAATATATATTAAATTCTGATGTTTGGGCATACATAGCTGAACTAGCACGTATCCCCTGACCTACAGGCTGAGGAGGCTCTCTGTTGATATTCCTGGCACCTTTCTCCAATAACCCATTTCATCATAGCAAGTACACTACAGAGTAGCCTGCGTAACCTGGAGAAAATAAACATACTTGTTTTTTGTCAGAAACTCCTATTTTCTTCCTTTTTCCTGTGGTTGGTAGTTCTTGGAGGTTATCTGTTTAATAAATCACACTTTTCCGGCCGGAGTGTACTGTTTTAAGTTAGCCTGCAGGCTACTGTCATTGTAGCCTATTATTGTTATTAAACTAGTAGGCTATATGAAATAGTCTTTTTGTATTTAATTTTATTTTTGAAACTTATTGAAGCCCACATTCATTCACAGCCGAGGCTAGAGTGATACCTTATGGTACTATAGAATGTTTTGAAGACAGACAGTATATTAGAGCTGATATAAGATTAGGACTACAATATATAAAAAAACACGAATTATAACACAATTATTATTAACCTTAGAAAAGTTTTTGTTTTTTTATTTTTTAAACTATCGATACATTTTTTGAAATTTTTATCTTCCACCTTGCCATCATGATGGGTAGAATCACAGTTCCTGATGGTGTCATCAGTCGACTTGAGCCTGCTATGCTGCTATCTCTCTACTCTGATGTGCTTTCTCTGTCCCACTGTACATCATTGTGGCTTTCTATAGGAGTCATCTCTTCTCTTTTTTCATCCTCTACAGCAATTACAGTAGACTATATGAAGAAAATTGCCCCCGTGCAGCTCGCTCTCTCACTCTCTCTCACACACACACACACACACACACACACACACACACACACACACACACACACACTCTCTCTCTATATAACTCTCTCTTGTCTCTTTCTCCAATGTCGTCTTCTCTTTCCTCTCCCTCTCCCTCTCGGTCCCCTCTCTCCCTCCCTTTCTCCCTCCCTCTCTCCTTCTCTTTAGATTGAGCTTCTTGCGTTGCACAGTCCAACACAGATTGCAAGGACAGTATTTTAGTAAGACTGCGATGTGGGTGTGATGCAGTTAACCTTAATTAAAGTTTAGTGCCTCTTATACACAGACTCACACACACAACCTTTCAGTCTACAGCTAATAAATTCTAATTTGTTTACTTGACAGCAGCATTTCAACCTCTGAACAACACTCAACCAAACCCTCATGTACACACACCAAGCTGTTGATTTATTTTGGCTTTCGTCAGAAAAGTGTCTGTTTAGCAGGCCTGTGTGCGGTTCCTGACTGCTTGCTATCCCTCTTTCCCCTGTCTTTTGAACTTATTCATAGAGGAGTGTGGAGCAGCACATAGCATCTGAAACTGTCCTCCTTAGTTCTGTTTATCTAAAAATATTTCCATCTCTACAAGTGTTGTCATAAAATTATATCGGCCAATGTTATTATCAGAATTTTTTTGTTTCTTAAAAGTCAACATGAAGTCAGAGTGGACCTTTTTGCCTTTGTAGTTCAAGTGCCTGGTTATATTAACGATTCATCATATATTTTTTATATTTCGCTGCTATCGGAGCAAAACCTTCTATCTCCAAAACGGTAACTTTACAGGAGAAGGAAAAAACATACTTTACTTTTAATGTAAGTCAATTTTAATTTTAAGATGTAAGACTTTTTTCCCAAGTAATTTTGGGCTATTTCTAGGGGTGGGAATCTCTATGCACCTCACGATTCGATTCGATTACGATTCAGAGGGCTGCGATGCGATTATAAAACGATTATCGATGCATCTCAATGCATCTTTTTTTCTATATAGCATTTATATTTTCTCACTGTGTGAGCTCAAGTTTCGAGTTCAAGCTTATTTGTCACTTGCACAACATGTCAGGACGTTTATGCATTGAAATGCTTGTGGTGAGGCTCAGCTAATCACTCTACAGAAAGTAAATAAGTAAAAATAAAAATACAAGAAAAACCAACTGAAATATATTAAATATACACAAAGTATACACACGATATATACAGAATATAGAGACAATATACATTTTATATGGGGGAGGGGGGGGGTTGGTTTCCTGGTACGGAAACTCGTCGTCTGCAACGAGAGACTGTCAAACAGTAAAAAGTGGCGAAGCTGAAGTCGCTTCTCTTTCGAATTCTCCCGTTCCACCTTAAATGGTGCCGCATTTACATTCGGTGCCTCAGTTAGAATTTAAGGTGGAACAGGAAAATTCGAACAAGAAACTGGAGAATAAGAAGCGACTTCAGCCTCGTAAAACAGTCGAATGTTGAGAGACATTTAACTGATCAACTTCTGAGGAAAAGTTTTCTCGCGGAGTTGGGAGGAAAGCATCTGTCGGCGAAGCTTAAAGCAGAGTAGAGTAAATCTGCATTTTCGTTTATATTGTTTAGTCTATACTAGGAAATTATCACACACTGACCCATACTGGACATTAAACATTGCGGTTCCCAAGGTGGTTTGATTTTTGTTGAAAGGACAAAATGGCTCTTCTGAACATTTGTGTTGCGACTCCTGACCTAACCTGGCTTTAAAGCAGAGGGAGCCGGTCGGATTTCTCGCTCATCCAGTTGTGTTTTTGTTATGTGCTGCCACAGACTGTCCGGGCGCTGCACTTACCCACTTCCAAGTTCCGCCTTTTGTGTTCCGTCAACATTGCGTTATAAATGAAATATTTAGAAAATCGATTTTTGACATTTATGAATCGATTCAGAATCGTTCACATCCGCATCTCGATGCATCTAAGAATCTATTTTTTCCCGCACCCCTAGCTATTTCTATAGTGTACTCTTCTTGAAATTTCCACAAAATGTAACAGACAACAGGCATTTTTTTACGTTATGCCAAAAACTGAAAAACGATGAAAAACGGAGATACAAAGTTTTGCTCTGACGGCAGCGATATGTTAATCTATTTTAGATTTCCTGTTATCTCCCATCAAAATGTAGTGACTTTTGCCTGCTTCTAAAACATATCCTGAATTTTGATTATCACCACAATGTTAACTAGTAATGTCATGTTTAATCTCCCACATTCTCAACTCCCACCTACTCAGAGAAAAACGCTTCTAGCTTGGCTGTCATCACTCGAATATACGTCACAATCTGAAAGGGAAATGTATTGTGACAATCTTCATCTCGGCTGAGACCTGAATTCTTTAGTGCTAGTCTGCCACCTAATAAACTACCTAATCGCCTGGAAAAGTTGTAGTACTGTTTCTGAGGCTTTAACACATGCTAACCTGCTGTTTGTACATTTATGCACATGAATGTTTGCCATGCACTCCTAAGTAACCCCACAGGTAATCTTGAGTTAGCAATGGTAGTTATATATATATTGTTTACTGGGACTTGAAATGTCTACAAATTTCATAAGGTTCTAGTGTTACATCCTTTGGTACTCACACAGCTTCACACACCTTGCCTGACCTTTTACAGACTCACACAGTACACAAACACAGTGTTCCACCTCCCATGGTTCCACTTGTTTGCAGTGTAGTCATTACTATAACTTTTCAAAAATGACCTCTGAAATCTCTGAAAGAAATCGTATATAGATGGTTAAGAAATCTTAAGCCTAGTGACAGGATTTTTCTATTTTTTGACTCCTAGTTGTTGTCAAAGTCTCCAGTTGTTGAAAGCACATGTAAAGGTGCCACATTCCCCTCCTCAAAGCATGAGTGCTCTGTCTACTTTTGTGTTAATAAGGCCTTAATTTTGGTCGTCCTTGTCATCATAAATTATGCCTCTTTGAGAGCTTATTGGCAAAACAATCAATGGTGGATGAAAATTCAGGAGAGTGCCTCAGGTCCTTTAAAATGTCAGGACGTGACAGTGTGGCGATGAGCGGATATTAACAAGAGAGTGCTTGAAGCTTGAGGCAGGTCACCTCTGCAGAAATGGCACATTGAAGGTGGAACAGCTTTAGATGAGTCAAGAGAAACAGAGGAGTCCTGGGGTGTACACTTGATCTCAAAATATACACTGCCTGCCCTTTATTTCTTTTTTGTTGTTGTTGTTTTGGTGCAGATCTAGTGTCTGTAGTAATTTGGATTTAAAAGGTCTCCACAAGAGCTAAGCAGTCTTTCATTGCGTTTGCAAGTAGGTTTAGAAGTCTCTGTAAAAATAGTGAATTTATCTAATTCTTAAGATTTTTCTGTCTAGCTTTCTGTCTTTTAAACTCTGTCTTTCTCTATGTTCAAGCAGTTCCTTTTACAAATTATGTGATCCATATCTATACCGATGAAAATTTGCAGAAATTCCATGGAACTCGAACATGAAATTCATTCACACCTCTGAATTTGAGTCATGTGATCAGATCATGAATATTTGCCTTCAGGCTGCAACGAATGAATGAATTCCATAGTTGAGTAATTAGACTGTTGTGGACAGCCTGTCAGACATGTCATACATGCAGTGTCCTAAAGCATTCTCACCACATGCGAAACATCAGTAAATCCGCTTTAAAACACAGAAACGGAATTTTCTTCTTCATCCTGGAGAGTAGTGTTCACGAGCTCTGCTTTCAGGGGGCTAAAACACCATTTTCGTGTGGACAGGAGGCCGAAATGTGGAGAAAAATATCCTTATTCATCTGGACGATCAGGTCTGTGTACATTAGCACACAAACGACTCTTATTACTGATAAATATAGTTTATCTGTGCAGGATATACAAAAGTGCAGCTAATTCCTTCAGCTGCAACATCGTTTATTCTATTTGCTGAACTAAACCAGGGCTAGCTACGAATCAGACAATGACAAGCTATTTTAAACTTTTGACTACGGTTTTTCTGAGGTTTTAGAAGTTATCTCCTCTGAGCTTAAGCCATTTTCTTCTATAAATGTGTTTTCATAAAAGTGAAGTCTTCCCATATTTTTGTCTTTTGTTTTTTTTTGACAGTATATGAATCTATGGTTTTCAATTTCTGTGGCATGGTGAGGATTTTGTATTGTCAATTTTATGGCACAAACAAACACATTACAAACGCAATGCAAATAAATACAACTATTTTTTTTCATGTTCAGATCATCACTTTGTGGGATGTCAACTTCACAGAAATAGTTTATTTCATTTCCACTGCCAGAGGCTGCGTGAAGCACTGTTGATACTCCTCATGCACCTGCGCACACTTTGAGATCTTATATGGTACGGATAGCAATTTAAAAATCCTCTTCACATGGAACACTTTGTTTTGTTGTTGTTGTTGTTGTTGTTTTTTTTTTTTTTTTTTTTCTTTTGATGGAGCTGCAAAGATTTACAACTTGGATAATGATTTCTTCTTGAAACTGCAGGTCCTTATTCTGTCCTATAGCTCTGTAGGCTGTGCTTAAACCAGTTTTAGTTTGCCAAGTCTGGCACAAATGTATGAGGTCTATCATACTAAACACACTAGACAAGATATTAATAAATATTCAACAGAAAATAAGGCATTAATTAACAGAAAAGTAGGTTTCTTGTGCCTTTGGCAGGTTTTTAATTTCCCTGGCTTCTGACCTTTGTCATGTTTCGTTGGCTCAGTCCTCCCTCTCTGACGTCTAAGGTGCATATACTCATGGTACCAGGGCAAATGTTCACCACGGCAGCTAAAGAGTCACTGGAACAGTACCTGCTGTTGTCTGCTCACGCCACCAGAACACCCCACTCAACTGTAGTGGTTCAGGATTTCTGCACTGCTGCATAGAAACTCCCACCACAATTCTTCGCACCCTGCCTACTGAAGCCTTCACTGGCGCTTCAGGTGTTCAGCTGTGGCACTGTCTTTGAACTGGGAGAAAGATTTCAACTCATTTTAGATCTGCCCGGGTTTGCCTTGTTTTGCCCGTATTTTGTGTTTATTCAGACAAGTGGTTCACATCCTTAGATCATAAAGATGTTTATAATTAGTGGTAAAACCTACCGTTTTATGTTTTTTTTTGTTGTTTTTTTTTAAAGCAAACATAAAAATGACGTTCTATGCATTTTTTCACCATTCTCACATAAAGTGACTATTTAAGGAACATTATTTTATCCATCTCTGGTCAGCAGATACAAGCCCTTCAATACCTGACTTAAAAGCCACACGCATGTATGGATACAAAAATGGATACTCCTGTTGGTTAGCAATGTTTTGGTAGCTCAAATCAATATTTGTGTCCCATGTGCAGCTCTTTGTTCCATATGTGATCATACTTGCTCAAAGTACAATTATCAATAGTATTGAAAACTGCTTTTGTCTTCGTGAAAACACGTTGTCTTTCTCTCCTCTCCACCTTGTCCTCTGCTCCAGCTCCTCTTTTGTTGCTCTCCTTTAGTCCCAGCAGGTGGTCAGCCTGTTTTTAGTCTCTCTGGTCTGGCATTGACAGACTGAGAGACACTGTGACCTGGGATTTTGGAAAGAAATCCCTCTAATCTGAGATAGAGAGACAGAATTGGTTATTTAACTTTACACACACATTTTTATTCTTTACTTAGGGATACAACTTCAGTAGTAATTGATATTTTCAACCTCTATTTTCAGATACTGAGTCTCTAGTTTTCAAGGGATTAGCAAACATTAATTTGCTTGTTCATTCAACCGTTTTTGTTCAGTCCCATTATTTTTATTGTTGTTAAATTGTGTTATGCAGCTTTATTTATGTAATAAAATCTGTGTAAATCAAACAGATTATATCAACCAAAAACTAAATAAAGTCAAACTGTTATTCTGTCATGTTAAAGAAGTTTAGATATTTGTCCGACAGTACTTTTATTTTCTCATTTCCGTTCCCAGTCATAGTTGGTGTGGAGCAGCATGTAGACAAAGTAGCCATTGAGATTCCACTTCTTGTTTTAGCCTGTCAGATGCAGAACTTTTTTTTTTTTGACGTTGTTTCTTAAAAAGGCATCTTAAATCTGTATATTAAGTCAGACATTTGTCTACACTGCTATTGTTGCCTCAGTAGCATATCAGCTTTCCCCCTGCAGGAGCAGCACTTGTCAAATTCAGCCAATTATAATGCATGTCCTTAAGCATCTCTGTTGGGCACGTTACAAACAGCAGGAGCTTGAACACCAATCAAGCGGGAAAGCGGATCCATGCAGACTCATACATTCACTGAATTTAGCTTATATTATTTTCTACAGTGGCAGACACGTCAAAATCCTGTGAAACTCTTAATTACTATTCCGTTAACTGTAAAGACCAAAGTGTCCTCATTAGCTGAAGTTTTTTCTACACACTTACTGAGAAGAAGCATGATCTACTGAAGGAATGCCAGATTTGTTTATAATTTGAAATGAGTCCAGTGCCACTGTTGCTGTTGATGGTACAAGTCGAGAAGACGTTTGTGTGGCTTCCGCAGGCATAATCAGTTCAATTGTTCAGATATAGACTCATGACCGTGGCACTCTCATTTTGAGGAAACCACCACTCAACATTGTAGATCACCCAACTTATTTCATTCCTTATTCACTCTAATTGCCTAAGATCAGGCCATGTAGTCCCAGTTCGGGAATTAGAGACGTTAATGCTGTGCTCCATTACTCTCCTTCCTCTGTCCCAAGACATAATTCTGGCTTTCAGTCACCAGTGAGATCTTCCGCCGCTGGAGAAAGAGTAAAGCTCTAGCCAGCTCCCTCCCACGGCCTAATCACTGCTGAGCATCTTTAAGCTAATGAGAGACAGACTTTGAGGAAACATTTCATTCCTTCGAGGTTTAACACCCAGACCACCATGTTGTGGACTGAGGAAAAATTGTGCCACAGCTAGTATGTGTGGACATGGCTGGTTTTATTTCTCCTGTTCTGTACATATTCACATGTATGAAGATACACACATATGTATGAATTTTGTTCTTGCTATTTGCGAGCCAGAAAACCTTGATGCAAAAGAAAAATTTTTTACCCTAATTCTTTTTTTATGTATTAATCTGATGTTCATTCAGGTATTCATTTTGCAAAAGATTTTTTCATTTGTGCTCTCACACCTGAGGCCCTCAGTTTGGAGAGTGTGCAATATTCTGAGAGCGGGAAATAATTCAGTCTTGCTGTTCGTCTCCTGCCTCACTTCATGGCTGAAAGAGGTCTGGTCCTTGGAAATGAAGTATACTACTTGCCACCTGAAACATTTCTCTGTGTCTTCCAGGTATCAGGACATGAGGCGGCAGATTGGCTTTGAAATCCGGGACATGTGGTACAACCTGGGTGAGTGTCTCACCGAAATATACTGCAAGTTTACGTTTAATCTCAGTTGATTAATTGTATGGATTTTACGATTACTGTTTATTGCTATTATATGGTTATTTGCTTAACTCTTTTAGGTGGTACTGAAGACTCCATAATAAAAATATGACAAGCAAAAAATAATGAACCTTTGTTTATACAGCTGTTTAATTTTAGTTACAAAAGCTCAGAATGCTTTACCCAGAAATATACAATGAGGGAAACATGCATTCAGACGTTCTCTTTTGTTATTTAACATATTTCCAGTGCATATACACTTCAAATATACACACTTCTTTTGAATTTGTGCTTATAAATATGAACCAGAAAAGTATTTTTTTAGCAATAAACAAAAATTAATTAAAAAAATTAAACAGAATTAATGGGGCAAAAAGTATATACTAAAATATATGTACATAAAGGTTTAAAATAAAAATAATTTAGGTTCTACATATTAGTGCTATATAGATTAAAATGAAAATGTTTTTTTTTTCTTTTTGCAACTTGCACCTGTCATTGGTTGGAAAGATTTCACGCAACACATAGCAATCATGATGAAAGTGAAGGAGCTTCCTCAAGATCTCAGTGACAAAATTATTAGACTCGAATGGATAAATCTACAGGACAACCAGGAAGCTGCAGGGATAAGTTATAAAGAGAACAGTAAGCTGTGAACCTCACGTCAGTCATCTCGGTTTCTACTCCCCATACAAACCTCTCTGCTTGAAAGAAAAGAAGCACAGAGTTATTTATCTAAAATTGACCCATGAGCATTTAGACAAATCAGAACTGTTTTTGGAACAGTGTTCTCTGGTCAAATGAAACAAAAACAGAACTCTTTGGCAATAATGCAGCTTATCATGTTTGGAGAAAGAAGGGTTGTGCTCATGACCCCAAGAACACGGTCCACAGTGAACTACAAAAAATGACTGCCTCTCTGCAAGTGGCATTCGGGCACTGCATGTCATCGAAGGAACCGTGAATTGAGCGATATACTGGGAGATAATAGAGGATAATTTCTCATCAGCCAAGAAGGAGGACGAGATGGACGGTTCAAGATGGATATTTCAAGACAGTCACCTTAAACATACAGCCGAAATTACTCAAGGCTGGTTTCTAAAAATGCTGTAGGTTGCATGGTCTAGCCAGTCTCCTGACTTAAATTCCATTGAAAATTTATGGAGTGTTTTGAAATTGCGAGTCCAAGAGGGACCTCTCGTAATCTTGGGGAGCTGAAGATGGTTTGCCAAAAGGAATTGGCCAAAATTCAACCACAATGCTGAAAAAAAGCTAATTACTTTTTACCATAGATATCTCAAAGCTGTAATTGCCACCAACGGCTTTGCAACAAAGTACTAACCTCATCAGTTTTATGGTGTCCTAATACTTTTTTTTCTATCTGTTTTTTTTTAGGGTTATAAATACACACTTTTTAAATATTTTGTACAGAAAACATTATTTGTTTCAATTTGAAGTGGATATATGCACTGGAAGTTTGTTAAATGACACAAAAGTCTTTGAGTACTTATTTAACTTCTCTGTAAAACATTGGAAAAATAAAACTTTATGGTTTAAATGAACTAACAGCACAAATACAAACAATAGAAGAAAATGAGCCACGAGACTCATTGGGCAATAGGAGAAAATGAGCCACTGGGCATTTAATAACATATGTTTTTAATATGAATTATATTGAAAATGCCTATCAAGAAATTTTTCCTTAGAAGCACACAGGCTGCCATATTCTGAACAAGTTAATGCCTAGATCAGAAAAGATCTCTAGCCAAGGATCTTTTAATATATATAAGGGCCAAATTTAGTTAGTGCCACAGCCAAGAATGCTGATCTGTGCTCAGCTACTCCATTCCATATCATTGTATTCTTTTAAACAAAAGGCAAAATCCTAGATCAGCACTGCTACACAGAGGAGTTTGATAAACATTGGCTCTCATTTCAGAAACCTTTCAAACTTGCGCAAACTTGCATGGTTTATTTTTTGACTCAGAATCAGCTGTTTTGCTTCAGGACTATTTTCCCAGTGCGACTGTGAATGGTTTATAAATGTAGGTGCTAATTGGGGTATGATCGGTAGCCGCAGACAAAGCTGAGAACATGCTGAGCTCTCTATTTCCTATCCATTTTCAGTTCATCTATAGAAAAAAAATCTCATGTCTCGTTAATACTTCTCCATCCCTAGATAGCTCTTTTTGTGTGACTTCTAATTAAGGCTCTGAACGCAAGTGTATTTATATTCACGGTGTAGAGAGTATAAATACACCCAGCATGCTGAAAACAACACCAAGAATTCCTTTGACAAGTTTGGATAAGATGTCTTGTTTTACAAACTTAAAGATGTTCTGTGTGTGGGAGAGAGCGCACAAGAGTCTGAGAGAATCCATAAAACGTCATTAGAGACAAGGCAACACATGTAGAATTCTGTTTCCCTGTTACAGCATACTCATGGTATCAGACGGAAACATCCAGAGCAACCAGAAACCAGCTTTGTTTAGCTTATAATGAATTGAAACAGAGACAGCACCCTTGAGAACGTCACAAAACCCAAACTCTACATATGTAGACGAAAGCATTTTCTGTAATGTTTCTGTTTAAGCTGTTTATTGTTGAGAAAATCAGCAACTGCTGTATGCTGTATTTTCTGTTTTTTGTTTTGAGATCTGTTATGAAAATTCTTGCCTGTGTCCTCTGAATTAACTGCAGGTCCACACAAAATCAAATTTATCCCAGAGATGGTGGGGCCAATCCTGGAGATGACCCTGGTGCCGGAGATTGAGCTACGCAAAGCTACTATACCCATCTTTTTTGACATGATGCAGTGCGAGTTTCATTTCACTCGCAGCTTTCAAAGGGTAAGTTTTGCTATGATACCTATTGCAGAAGTATAACAGAGAAGTACTTGTACTTCTAACTTATTTACTTATAAGTACGTGTAGGTAAATAAATGTCTATTCGGTTTCTTTTACTGTACCGACTATTGAAAAACTGCAGTTTTCACAAGTTCTTCTTAACTTTTTTGATAGTTTGTTAAACCATTTTAAAATTTCATTTGAGGTCATGTGATTTCACATCGTCATTCAGATTACATAATATTTAATTGTACAGCTGTAGGTAGTTACAGTTGAATTACATCTGGTAGAATTTCTCATACTGCTCAAGATAGGTCACCATAATGGTTACACATGCTTTGACACACATCAAATGTATTCTAACAGATCAAGGTGTTTTTGTGGTTCTGAACACCATAATTCTGTCAATTCATATTTGTAGCAAAATGTGTAAAGTGGGGCTTGACTGTATCTCTGCTTATCCATTATCCTCTGCTATTATGTGCTCTAATGGGCTTAATAACTATAGAAGCTGGAGAAATACTGCTGCAGTGCTTTAGCCCACGCCATGCTTAGTCCTCTCTCTCGCCATACAGCCGTCTAGCTCTCTCATCTCTGGTACTGAGAGAGTGGGTTAACTGCCTGTATTAAACCCATTCATACGTCTGAGGTAACGCTTCTGTCTGTTAATCGATATTGACAGTTTATTATTGCTATGCTTATGAAGATTTCAGCATAACAAACAGACTTTCTGGGACATGATGAGGTTGTTGGACCCCCTTTGTTCCTGGTATTAACATACATATCTAGCGATCTGATCACAAGTGGACATTGAGATGTATAGCCGTGTACGCTTGGCAGTTCCATGTTTCCTGAATGTGTCTCACATGGCCACCTGGACACATTTACTATATTAGTCTCTCACTGCATTTGTTTTTAGACAAACATTTGTCAGGAGTCCTTGTTTGTGTACATGTTTCTGTTGTACATCGTTGCTATTGTGATGATGCAGTTCCTCACACTACAAATGTCATTGTGATCTTCTGCATCCATGACCACCTCCAAAGCTGGTTTGAGTGATTGGATCACATTGCTTCTCCATCTTGTTCTCACCTCTTCTTAGCACTCTCCAATTATGATCAAATAAGCAAAGATAAGTGTGAACAGGGGTGCTAATTCTGACATTATACTGTGTATTATGTTAAAAGATGTAAGAAATGCTTTATGATTTCTCTGCAATTGCCCACTATGGGCAGGTAACTCATGTGGGCTGGCATGAAGGATTAAGACTGATGTTTCTAAAATAGTAAACAAGTGGTAACATAATGGTAATACTTTGCACTTTTTTTTCAAGATACTATTCCTAGGTAATCAGTGTTGTTTCCCCAGTCAACGTCCTTAAGATAGTGGTAAGATTTTTTAATTGGGAATGCATTTAAATAATCTGACTAAGTTGATGTTGAAGCTTGGGTGCTTTGACCCTGGCTTGAGTCCCTGTATGTAATAACAGTGCTGGTAGAAAGCCCACAGACTGCTGTCTTTAGACCTGTGTGTCTGCCCGGCTCCTCCTTAAGCGCTGCCCTGTTTATTCCCCCCGGAGAAAGACTTGAGCGCTCTCCGCTCAGCTTGACCCCACTTTAGGGGCCAGGTGCTTCCTCTATTTACAGCAGGCAAGCTAAATCCCCAGCTTACAGCAGTCCTGTGTGGAAACACTCTGACTGGTAGCTACTGTTACACTGCAGGGCCAGACTGGAGCTGCTGCTGTTTCTCTGCAGCTGCTGTGCATTAACCTGCAGCTGGTACTGCAGGCTCTCTCTCTCTCTCTCTCTCTCTCTCTCTCTCTCTCTCTCTCTCTCTCTCTCTCTCTCTCTCTCTCTCTCTCTCTCTCTCTCTCTCTCTCTCTCTCTCTCTCTCTCTCTCTCTCTCTCTCCCAATATCTCTCTGTCTCCGTGTCCAATCTCTCTCTGATGGAGCATTTCATTGCTTGTGATGATGAGCAGATGAAGATGAGCCCTCAGTCAGAGCTGATAAACTCTGATTATGCTCAGCCACAGAGAGAGAGAGCACGATGGAATGGGTGTGGGAGAGAGGGAGGGAGGAGGGGGCCGGTGCTAATGAAATGAAAAATTAGCCACAGTGATTATTTACAGCTGCTGTGTTTAATTGCAGTTTGAAAATGAGATCATCACGAAGCTGGATCACGAGGTCGAGGGAGGCAGGGGAGACGAGCAGTACAAAATCCTCTTCCAGAAAATGTAAGACTCTCTGCTGCTACATCACACTCATTGTGATACTGTCAGAGACATGCTGTGGCACCTCAGGAGATGAGTTTTGAGCCTAGTGCACCAGATTTTTTTCTTTTAATTTTTCTTGTCAAGTGAATCTGTGCCTGTCTGTGTGCCTGTCTGTGTGCCTGTCTGTGTGCCTGTCTGTGTGTCTGTGAGGGCTGCACACTATCATTCATTAGTCATAATTGTGATGTTGGCCTTTGCAAAAAGTTACAATAAACAAATAAGCTCTCTAACCAGTCACACAGTTTTTAAAACTTTGTGCTGTGAGCAAATTTCTTTGAGTTTTGTGATAATAACAATCCAGCACATACAGATAGTTTTGGTCAACATAATGCAGGTCAGTCTTTAATGAAGTCATATCGATGGTTCACCAATGTGTTTTTCACACATTGCAAGGCGTGGTTGAGAGCAGTGCAAAACCTGACACAGGGTAACACAGTTTTTTGTGTAGTTAAACTGGTCCTAGAAGAAGTGCTTTTGGTCATTTTCTCATATTCTCATAGCAATGTCAGTTATGAATTTTGAAATCAGATAGCTAGTTTTCAGTAGTTACCATGAAGACTGTTTTTGTACCGTAAAAGTAACTTCTGATCAGAAGTGTTTTTTGATTACTGAGTTTGATTACTGAAAACAAAGTTTGCATTTTCATTTGTAACAAAGATGTGCAGCTTGCTTGTTAAAAAAAAATATTATATATATATATATATATATATATATATATATATATATATATATATATATATATATATATTGCTGAAATACTTTTACAAATTGCATTACGTAACGATGCACTGTGCGTCTGCATGTCTGCACTCTCATGATTGTTGTGCGTGTTCATGCCTGTGTTAGTGCATAAATGTATATCTATGACCATGTAGGCCCTTGTGTTGAGTATGGGTGTGTATTTATGTGTGTGTCAGCCTGTTGGAGCACTGCAGAAAGCACAAGTACCTGGCGAAGAGCGGGGAGAACTTTGTGAGTCTGGTGGTTCGTCTCCTGGAGCGTCTGCTGGACTACAGGACCATCATGCATGATGAGAACAAAGAGAACCGCATGAGCTGCACAGTCAACGTGCTGGTGAGAGACTTGTACACATACAGTGATAAACATGATTTCAGTGTTTTTGTTATTCCTTCTCACCACAGCCATGGAAAATGCAGTAGCAAAGTCAATAAATAAAATAAATACAGAAACAATAAACTATGCAAATAGTAAGTATTAGTAAAATAGAGAAGACAAAAGTGCAGTTCTTCTCATGACTACTGTATTATTCAGCAGTGAAAACTAAACCCCTCCTATAGCAGCAACTAGCATCAAGAGTGCAAACAGTAAAAAGTTTCTTATGCACAAAGTGAAATAAAATATATGTCTTAATTAAATTGACTGGGTAGTGGGTAGAGTTCAGTAGATGAAGAGAGTAGGGCTAGGCTAGTAATCCACTCTGGGCCTTTCCTGACCATAAAGGTCTAATATACTGAATTGCAGTTCATTAGAACAGCATGAAAGGCCTGTTTTCATTAGTCATTCATGAGTCATGACATTATCCTTCTTTTTCTAGCCTGCCTGAAGACCGCTCTACTCAGTTTTTTATTTTTCTGTTTTTCGAATCTCAAGGCTATCATTATCGTTGTCTAGTCACAGTGTCAGTCACTCTTACCTTTATAGCTCATCAAATGACCTAAACAAAAATAATCCTGATAAATTTTTCTAACCGGTATTTTAAAAAGCAGATAAAGCCCACTCAGAGATCTGCTCGGCTGCTGAGTTTAGATCCAAACTAAGATAACCCACTTAGATGGAATCGTCAGATGCTCATGAAGATTTGTTGGATCAGGTGTGTTAGATTAAGCTTGGAACCAGTTTAAAAGACCAAGGAGGTATATTTGACATGCTTGGGCTACACAGGTAAGTGCAACCTCTCATTATTCTGGAATTGAAAGCTGTTCAGCTCAGCTGTTCACATCTGTATTTGTTTTTCTTATGCAATGTCACTGTATGACCACACCACCATTTTCCTGACTGAGAGAATCTGTTTTTTTCTGTATTCTGTACAGTTTAATGAGAGAACAGCCATTAGAAAACAGAAATATTTTTTTTCTGTGTTCGCATGTAAGCTAACCAACATGACAGTGGCCCTTATTCATCAAAGTCTCGTACAGTTAAATCTGAGTGAATAATGAGTGCACTCAGACAGCTTTGATATTCATCAGCGTAATCTTTGATGTATCTGTATGATCAAGCTCACATCTGGTAGGAGTGTGTGTAAATTTGAGCGTGATAGGTTGAATAACCTGAAAAAAAGTGATTTGCGGTCAACTAACCAAAACAAAATCAATATCATCTATAATATTAATAATGAGAATAAAAATTATTCTAATAATTTGTGCACATGGCAATCTAGTACAATAGTGTATGTCCTTATTTTACGTGCAATTTGGTATAAAAGAATGCTGCAACTATTTCATCCTCAATTTAAGGACATATTACAGTACGCTTTTGTTTTATTCTACTAACACCACTCAAACAGTCCAAAACACAGCTTGTGCAGAAGTGTCTCATACATTGCAATAAAACAGCTTTTAATTATGTTTTTTTTAGGAGGATAATCACATTACACAGTCACATCATTCTACTGTCTTAAAAAAATGACTTTTTGGTTTCACCTTTTATTCCTTTCCAGTGGTCGTAATTTTAACACTATAAAGTTGTAAGTAGGGAGAGCAGTGCTTTTCTGTTAGACCTCAAACTCCATGTACAAGCACAGCCACTGGTTTACAAGCAGCTGAAAACTGTTGTTTTATTGGCTCCCTTCCAAAATGGAATGCTTTATATAAATTATATGTAAATGACATTGCACGAAAGTTTCATGAATCAGATGCAGAGTAGTTTGTATGTCATTATTGGCATTATCAAACCTGCTCTCTTTTTTATGTAGCTTTGATGATTAAGGGTTCATGTGTTTCAACTCTGTAGTGTTTGACAAGTAATATCTAATATCTAACGCAGCATTAACTGTCTAAAATCTCTCAGAGCTTGTCATCCTCATAAGCACATACCCAAAATGTATGTCTGTAAACATTACATGTATATTTTGACAGATACTCTTATTCATAGGGATTTAAAAAAGAAAGCAAGCATGTGTGAGGAGTCATACAAAAGTAATTTGATTACACTTGAAAGCTGCAACATAAAAAATGACAAACATGCCATAAACAGTCATGATTGATGTCATGCAGTCATGAGTTGTCATGACAAATTATGTCCAGTGATATTATAGTGCCATGTTACCATTTCTGTTAATTGTCATGACAGATGGAATAGTGTTTGATGTCATGACTGCAGATTAAAGTACCCTTAGCATGCGTTATAAGCTGTAATGTCAAACATTATGGTATCTGTCATGACAGTTACTTGAAATAGAAACAGGACACTGTCATATTAATAAACAAAATCTGTGTTGACAACTCATCACAGCGTATGGTATCACACAACATTTTTATGACAAAGTTGTGTAGAAGAATTCAAGGAAAGTGTTCTCAGTGATTTTATTTGTATGGCGGTCAATGTTTGTGTATGAACATGGGAAAAATAATAATTCCTACATATGAATTAAAATAAATTTGTTTTGTTTGAACATATTCCTGTTTTTTTTTTTCAGTAATCTTTGATTGAGACACATCAGAAGGCTGTCATTAATTTGGCCACCACAAGAAAAAGATCACATGACTGAAGCAAATACATTTACTTGTAACCTGTTCAAACAGAAGTATTTGAAATTTTTCTCCGTCCCATGAGAGACACACAAATGGACATTACATGAAAATTCAGAATAAATTAATTGATCTGATGCACTTCCCTGTTGTAGAATCTGGAGTTGACACATACATAAATGGACAATTCAGATACAAATCTCTGAATACAATAGACACAAATATGTGGATAGAAGGGATATTACAAAGTAAATACCATGTAATGATCTAGTCGTCCTATATTTTGCACGTTCACAAATGTCTCTAGCCTAAACAAACTTTTATTTCAGATAGTTGCTGACAAAGAGCAAAGCATACAATAGCACTGCAGATATGCTTAGACACTCACACGCAGTGGCAGTGTAGTGCGTTATTGTGAGATCACAGAGTGCTTGGTTTTCTGAAAGCCTCACCGCCAGCAGTAACATGTCTGCTGGGAGACTGTAAAGGTCAGCCTCTCTCAAACAGAGCAGCACCGCTGCCTGTGAAGAGACCCTCCTCACAGTTCACACCAGCAGCACCACTGTGCTTATCCTGCAGCAGCTCTGGCTCCACTGCTCTTCTGTTTACCAAACTTCATCTCTGTCTTAGATTCTCATGTGGCTTAAAGTCTTCCACCTGAACGTCTTTCTTCTGCTTCCATGCTGCAGCTGTTCTTGAGCTGATATCACCCTGTACCGTCAGCTGGCTCATTCACAGTGTCTAGCAAAGATGTTCTGTATTACATATGTATATATCTGGTATTTAAACGTGCATACTTACTTAAACACAGGCAATATGCTTTAGCCTGAGAACCCTTGTCCAATCACCAATCTTGAAGTTTAAGGTAATATTAAGGTCAACAGTGTAAAAGCTGAGGTTATACAGTTTTGCTTTTTATGATACTTTATTATGTTTTTTCCCCTTATGTCAGTGTAATCAGAGGTTATGATATTTATTAATGATAGTTGACAAGAGACTGATGGTTTACAGTCATGTTAGTAGTAACAAAATATGTTTCATCTTTTGGTTTTGTAGTACTTTTTGTGGTGCTGTTTCTGTATTCCTGTCACAGTCTTTGGCTTCAGAAATCTTTTGCTTCATAATCTGCTGGGTATTTTTTATATTGTATTTTTCCAGCTTGAAAGTCATTGAAATAAGTTTCCATGGTTCTTATTTTGCAGAATTTCTACAAGGAGATTGAGAGGGAAGAAATGTATATCAGGTATGCCACTTCTTTTTCCTCTTTTCCTGTTTGTTCTCTTATTCTGCACTTCTGAACTCTTGAACAAGAACTCTTGTCTCAAGAGTGACAAAGTTTTAGGATGAGTTTTGGAACAAAGATGGAGCACTTCTCTCTGCATTGACTTGCCAGTGTAGGAACAAAAATGAGTGTCATTGAATGGAATTTGTTCTGGATTTTTTTGCATACAACTCAGTGTTGTGGAGGTGTTTTTATACTGTTTATCTGTGTGTAGGTACCTGTATAAGCTGTGTGACCTGCATAAGGAGTGTGACAACTACACAGAGGCTGCCTACACTCTACTGCTGCATGCCAAGCTTCTGAAGGTACAGATCAGTGTGTATGAGGTTGTGCAGACACAAACAGTAAGACAATACAGGCCAGTTTCCCAGATTCTGATAAAGCCTGTTCCTAGAGGAAATGGGATTTTTAATGGTGAAACTTCTTTAACATTGCACGTTAGTCCAAGACTAGGCTTAATCCATTTCCACAAAACCAGCCCTACATTTATCCACAGTTGACCGATCCACGCTCTGCTCACACATTCTTTCATGGCCTCTTTTGCTAGGTTGGATAAACTTTTCAGCACTTTGGTGAAAGTCCTAATCAACCTAATGAGAAATTGTCATGCACAACGTTTTTTTTTTGTCCTGTATGTTTTTATCCAAATACATAGTCATAGTAAGTTGAATGGGGTTTCCTAAACATTCTGTAAAGCTTATCCAAACTTGTAACAGTTGCTTCAGAAGAGCACATTTGTGGGCAGAGCATGGATTGGTCAGTTAAACACAGATATATTAACTTTAGGCATTAACTGCCTAAACCTAGCACCCTCTCCTATGTATACATATAGTACACAAACGCTTCTCTCTGCCTGGCTTGCTAAATTGACCAAGGTCGAAACCATGAAGGACGTGCATGCACACACACAGCCTTGTTCACCGAACTCCTTTATTTCAATTGTAATTGTATTGGTTTTGTGAGACCATGATGGATGAATTTGCTTCTGTTTTTGACACAAACAAAGATGGCTCGTGTCACAAATGTCAGCATGTCTACATAATAATCAAATATCAGAATATCAAATCTGTATAGTTTTGACTGAGGCAGGTGGCTCTCACAGTGACAGAAAAGAGGATACAGTCTGCTTGAGCTTGTACAGTGACTCTTCATGCAGATTTCACCCTCAAACTGGCATACATCCCAGAAAATGGCCTAACATTGAGAATAAGGCGGCCTATTCTACACTGCAGCTGGTAGGCTTGTGGAAATCCAGCGTATCGCATAGGATATAGTGAAAAGAAAGCCCTTCACCTTCACGGGTGCACGGAGTAGACTGCATGTCTTCTCAAAAGTTAAACTGATTTGAAATTTCATGATGAATGGACCAAAAGAAACGACCCAAAATGACCTGGAAAAAAATCTGTAAAGTATGTTTTTTCTTTCTCCTGTAAAGTTACCATTTTGGAGATACAATTGTAACCATTGTTAATTAAAATTCAGTGAGGTTATTAGTGAGTTTGCGCTTCAGTCACTTATGAATTTGAAGTGTTGGTTTGTTGTTTGTGCCATCAGCTTGCAAGTGTTTTGTCTGTGAGTTTTGTCATATTAAGAGGGGAATACCACTTCTTTTTCTCCTCCAAACTGTTCCAGACAGCTCATAAATAACTCCCTGCTTTGTGCTTTGCCCTACAAGGCGCATTCACACACACGCAGGTACATACACCTATCCTTGTAATGTTAGCCTGTGACAGTACTCCAGTCTGTCCATGTAGCTCAAAGCGTTTGAAGGAATTACACTTGTGATTTATTTACTTTTTTTTTAATTCTGAATTGCTACCTGCAGCTGTGTCATTGTGATACACCGCAGAAAATAGTGAAGCCATTATCCTATAAAATTCTTTTTTTTTTTCTTTCATGGTGGAACTAAGCAGTATTTTGGGCTGTTTCGGGGTGGAGGCTGTAATAACGCTCACTCCAGTTCTTCAGAGAAGGATTTACTACCCCAAACCAAACAGTCCATTTTCCCCCTGCTTTTGTTTACATGTGTAGACACTTGCAATTAGCTTAATGGCAATAATAAAAGTTGCTGCAGTGAGAGAGCCGGCAAATATTCAGTTCTAAGAAAGGCATGAGAATCTGGGATGTATATCATATGTGTTGTGGGCTGGGGTTTTTGTGTGTGTGTGTATGCTAAAGCTGCACAGTTAATGAGTTGTTATTGGCAGTTGATATTGGCAATATTGTTCTACCAGTATTACTAAAGGCTGCTATATGCAACTGAGCATTATAACAAACAACTAAATTATTATATGTCATAAATATCCTGAATAAATCAGATTTCACAGTGTTTCTGTGGATGTTTTGATAAATAACAGGAACATTTACCTGATTAAACACACACTAGGAATTTTGCCCAAAAAATACATTCCAGTCCTTAATCATGTGACGTCAACGATTCACTGAGCTGTTTTTAATACTGATTGAGCCTTACAAAGATGCTTAGCGGCAAATTTAATAAATTACCAACAGAGACGAGGTAACAGATAGCTTTAGTAATGCAGGGAATAAACAGCCAAAAGAGTTTCAGAATGTGATTTTTACAAAAAGCAGTCAAAACATTTTTTTTCAGGCAAAACCTCTAGACTTTGAGCTGGGGTGAGCAATATAATGGTATTTTATTGTTATCATGATCAATTTTGTTATTATGATAGACAATATGCTTTTGTGATCATGTCATGGATATTGTCAGTACTCAGAGAACACTGAAAAACTGATTTAGGAGAGATTAGTCTTGATTGATTGGTTTTCATGCTGTACAGAATGTGAAATGTTGAAAAAACATTACCCAGAGTTTTTGATGAGTTTTAAATGTGGCACTAATGCATTGTCAGACTATCATAATACGCTACATGTATTGCAGAAGTGTCTATGTTTTGTGGTGTTCTTGACATATCACCCACCCGTACTTGAGTGTTGTAAATTTACAAAGTATACAAAAATCTAAACAAAGTATGTACAAGGAAATGGCAGTGTTGGTTTTAGATTTAATTCCTTCATCAAATTAGAAATAATGTGACATTTTTAATGTGACTCTCTCTTTTCTCTCTATCCCAGCACAAACAATGTCAACCATGTTAGCTCCAAAATAAGACATGCTTTTCACAGGCGTTAAATAGTCAATAGTCAATGAGGCAAAAGCACCAAAGAACAATGATCGCCCCTTTGATCTTACTTAGTCTATTTAGTAAATCACAGCTGCCAATTTTTAACACCAAAAAAGGGTTTGCAGTAGTGCAGAACGATATTAAATCTGCCTCTTTGTGTTAAAATGATCTCATCATTACCGGTATGTGTTAGATCACTATTCAAGTGTTCCTGTCATTGCCATTATTTTCTTCAGGGGAACAGCCAGTGACAAAAATATTCTTGAATATTGGATATTGAATTTTTCAATTACAGTATTGGTAAAATAATAATATTATTAAAAATGAGGCTCATCTTTCTTTTTTTGTTATTATTATTTTTTTCTTTTTTCTTTTTTTTTTGGAATCACTCTGTATACTGCAAAGCATGTCGCAGTTGCAATACATATACAATTACTATTTTGCACAGCCCCTAGTATATGTGCATGCGTTTGTGTGTGTGAGCCTGTGTGTGCATATTCTGTTGCCTCTCTCCTGCCAATTACATATTAACAAGCCCAGAGCTGTGTGTAGGCCTTGAGGCAGTATTCAATAGAAATCACCTCGTCACACCAATTCTGTCCTTCAAAACCAGAGCTATTCCGCATTCTGAATATTTGACCTCCTGGTGAAGGAATGCATATACATGTACAGGTTTGCAGTGCAGCTGGCTTTTTCCCATGAGCCTCTTGTCTGCCAATGATGTGATTTCCTGGGGAAGTTTACCCCGCACTCTTCCTTGCTGTAACATGAAATGTCAATTACGTTTGCACTACAGTGAATCAGTTCTGACAGGGCCCTGAGCACAAAACAGCCTCTTCCCATGCCACCCAATGCCTGCGCTTATCTGAGGGTCACCTGACCCAGTCTAGCCAATCAGCATGCTCATTATTCTGTGTGTGCTGGCGCCAGAGAAGTAGTAGATTGTGGGGTCAGCAGAAAAAAAAAGCAAGCCCTGTTAATCTTTGCCGTCCTTGCCTTTATTCTCCGTTGTTTACGGAATCAGGCAGAATCTGTAATGAATATTGTTAGGTGGTGAGTAAATCAATGTTATCTGCTGTGATCTCAGTGTGATGACGAAAGTAATGCCAGCAGATGCAGCCAGCAGCATTTGGAAACCAGTGCGGGAATATGGGTGCCTGCTGAAAAAGAAAAGAGATAAAGGGATAAATATATGTAATGTGTGTATACTGTAGATAATCTTTTCTAAACCAGGGGAACACAGAGATGAAATGATGAGTTTTCCCAAAAAGGAAAAGGCCCCACTCTTAGATCCTAGTATCATAATCAGAATTTGATCCACCATATCAGGTGTAATGACTTGGCACAGAAGCAGAGGATTGTGACATAGGTGTCAGCACACGCTTCCTACATTTAGAGGATTAAACAATCCACAGTGCATATGATGTAATGTATTATGTGAGATTAAGAAAGCAGTATGAAAGGTTATAAGGCATTATGTGTTACATTTGCAGTGGTCAGAGGAGGCCTGCGCAGCTCACTTGACCCAGAGAGATGGTTACCAGGCGAACACTCAAGGCCAGCTCAAGGACCAGCTCTACCAGGAGATTATCAACTACTTCGACAAGGGCAAGGTAACCAACGGCTCTCTGGAGTTATCTGACTCTAGCAATGCAGTCTTACTTGATTAAAACTAAAACTAAAAAACTAAAAGCATGAAATCTAAATGAGTTTGGCAAATTGTGTAAGTTATGATGCTGTACTGTTGTATATTAGCTGAATTCAGGAAGCACATTTATGGTGTTCTCCAGAAACAGGCGATTTCTCTTATTTGCAGTCTGTACTTGTAGTGTTCTTGCTTGCTGTTAGGACCCAAACAACAGGCTGATCCCAACACTACAAAAATATTCCACTTCATGCAGTCAGTTCTCTATGTATTGTTTTGGAGAGAATATGTCAATATCATACATGTTGTTGTTGTTATTATTGTTGTTATTATTCTGTGTTACCTATCATTTAAAACTGCCCACCCACACACCAGTACCCACCCACTCAATAATCAGATGGCACGTACAGCACAAAACCACACGCAGCATACTCCTACACATCATAAAGTACCCATGCATTAGTACTCTCTCATATATACAGTGCCCTCCACAAATATTGCCACCCTTGGTAATCATGAGTAAAATGAGCTGTAAAATATTCTTAATTACTTATCATTTTGATCATTTAATCAAAATAATAGCAAAAACCTAACCTTTATTTAAGGTATAATGATTGAAAGAAAAAACTAAATCTTGTCATGAAATAAATATTTTTCTTAAATCTTTGTGTGGCACAATTGTTGGCACCTAGAAATTCTTAAGAGAGAAATCCATTTGAAGCATATTCCCATTTATCTTTGTTTTTAAGTTCACCTGAGTGATTAGGAACACTTAAATGGTCAGGCAAGACTGCTTGTGTCGCTAGGGAATAGATATGAGACATAGGCCAGATTCCTTCAGTCATCCATCACTATGAGAAAGACCAGAGAATACAGCAATGATGTGTGACAAAAAGGTTGTTGAGCTGCACAAATTAGGAACTGGCTGTAAGAAAATAGCACAACAGTTGAAAATGTGCATTTCCAATATCAGGTCAATAATCAAGAACTTTTAAATGACTGGAAATGTTAGGAATCTGCCAGAAGGAGCATATATGTATATACTGACCCCATGCACAGTGAGGAGGATGGTTCAAGTGGATGAGGAATCTCCAAGGATCACAGATGGGGAATTGCAGAAATTGTTGGGTCTTGGGGTCACAACGTCACCCAAACTACAATCAAACACCACCTGTATAACCATGAGTTGTTTTGGGGTGTTGCCAGAAGAAAGCCTCTGCTGTGAAAGACCAACACACTCAAGCTCCCACAGTTTGCCAGACGTTATTGGAACTTTCAGTGGGACTGTGTTCTGTGGTCAGATGAGACCAAAACAACTTTTGTCTTTGGCAACAAACAGCAGAGGTGAGTTTTCCATGGACCCTGAGAGAGTCATACAGAAAAGTACCTCATCCCCACTGTAAAGTTTGGTGGTGGGTCTGTTTTTTTCTTCCAGAGGCCCTGGACAATTTATTCAGATGCGTTATATCACAGACTACATCAAGTACCAGCAGAAATTAAATCAAACCTGACTGCCTCAGCCAGGAAGCTTAAAGTGGACTGTAGTTTGGATCTTCCAGCAGGACACCGATCCAAAGCACCCCTCTAAATCAACACAAAAATAGCTGGCTGACCTCAGAACTAAAGTTTTGCCACGGCCACCCCAGTCCCCTGACCTAAACCTCTTAGAAAAGCTGTGGGATGAGCTGATGAGGAGAGTCCACAGTGTGGACCTCACAATCTGAAGGTTCTGGAGAGTACACATTTCACACATTTCAAGGATGCTCCAACAATACTTGAGAGCAAGAATAGTTTTCCCTTCATGCTCTGAGGTCAGTGCCTTATTTAAAGTAAAGCGTTCATACTCCATGGACAGCAGAGGGCATACACTGGAGGACTGTTGACAATGTTAGAGCCCTGTGGAGTGGACGTCCACCTCCGGACCTGCCACGTCTCTATTAGGTTCATATCACAGTGGAGTTGTATTTATTGGAGTCAAGTAAGGAAACGCTGAGAGCTCTTAGCCTGTCAGAATGGGCTTTTTGGTCAGGGTCACAGACCCAAGTGCCCCCTGCCCCTCTTCTGGAGCTCATTATGTGGCTCAGGGACCCAATTCATGACTCTGTGTGTGATACAACCAACCATCAGCATTTCTCCGCCAGTCAGTCCCATTTTTAGAATTCCCTACTGAAGGTCCTTTCAGGCATGAGTGTGTGTATGTGTAGGTTTGGGATTGGGGGGGTGTGAAAGTAGAAGAGCATCTTGTCCTCGGGTGAGGGTTTGGCATCCTGACATGCTCTGTTGCTCAGACTACCAGGGACCTCGTCCAGCCTTTCTAGCAAATCTATTTTAAATGTAGCTCCTGCTGTTGGGACTTACCCAGATGGCAGGACTTTTCCCTCCAGAGAGAGGCTAAGAGAGTGAAAGAATCAGGCAGACAGACAGACAGAAAGAGAGGGATGAAGAAACTAGATCTAAAGTACACTGAGACAAAAAGAAACCAAGAGAGATTCACTGCCAAAGCTGGTGGTAGTTCTCAGGATGAAGATTCAATATTTATTGCCATCCCTACAGAGTTTGTGATATTTTTACACAAAGAAGAACAAATAAAGACAACAGGGAACAATAATACGCAATAAGCCACATGGACCACTCAGTCAAGCATAGTTAAGCAAGACGCAAAGACCAAAAAAAACAGTTTATATTAGTTGGAGGACAAAACGTTTTTCTACTTTCACACTCGTTATATACACACGACACACGACACATACAACTAGAAATAAACTGTCAACAACTAAATTTTTTTTGTGTAGTTGATGGTGATTATTACATCATTAATTTGTCTTATTTGCTTAAATTTGATGCTAAAGAAAGATTTCTCCATTAAAAAGTAATGCATTTTGTTGTAGTTCTATGAGTGGACAAAACAAGCCTCATCAAAATTTATTTATTACTTTCCTTAATTTAATAATATGATTTTTGGCGTGTAAACATTTCAAATATCATATATAGTTAGTGGTTACAGCTTCTTCACAATTGTAGCCTCTCATTCCTGCTCATTCAGCATGGATTCTTGTTACAGTGGAGGCTTTGCAGGGAAACTGTAGCTTTCCACTTCACTATTGATGTTTTGTTGGTTTGCTGCTCATTGATTTATCCACTGGGCTCCTGTGAGTGCTGTCCAACGTAGTCTGCCAGAGGTGCTGAAACTGTCATTTTAAATGTTTTTTTAAAAGCTGTAAATTGTGCATTCTATCGTAGTAACATGCAGCCCTTGAGCAGCTGGGCTTCAGTCTGGACTACTACAGATGGTTTGAAGAGAGATATGTTTACCGTGTTAAAAAAAATTTGTGGTGTTAATAATTTATCACTGATTTTTTTTTTTGACGGCCCTAAAATAAAGACAGTGAAACGGGTCAAGAATATTTTGTTTTTAAAACATTATTCATATGTATTTTAGATAAATACAGTTAGTTTCCTGATGTCTCTCTGCACTCCAGCCTTTGCATGAATTTGTTAAATTCCAACAACAGCACCTGATTTAATTTAATGAAGGATTGATTTGATAAACGAGATGTTATATGGTAACTGTAAAAACTGGACTTCCTCGAGGAGAGCTTTGGAAATAGTTACAATAACTGAGGCACAACTCTCCCACACAAAATCACCAAAATTACAATTTATTATTAATATATATTTATTCTATTGTTAATTTTTGTTAACAAATAAATACTTACTGTCCAGATAAGTGACTTTACAGAGTTCATTGTCCTCATGCTGGGTCTCTCTCCCTATCTCTCTGTGTAGTCCTTTGGCCTCAACAATGCTCCATTATTTTTCTGCTGATTTTCTCCTCTGTCTCAGTAGACATTTATGAATTCGTGAAATTCATTATCTTCTTCAGTATACAGCCAAATAGCAGAATGTGAATTTTGCACTATTGAAAGCGCTTATTTTTTTGTCTCTGTGCAGCAGAGAATGCTTTATTTATATGCTGTGGAATGGGCCGTCTCTCCTGTGTAACTCAAACCCATCATTAAGAGGAGCAGTCATAATAAGAATATATCATTAATCCCAATTAGAAGAAGTCTTTTACAGAATCATGTTGAGGCAACAATAGCTAACAAGCACCAAAACAGCACAACTAACAAATAACACCCAACACTCAGTGGCCCGAGTATGTAATATGCGTGCTTGTGTAATACAAGGCTTGAGTCCACAGAACAAAGGCAAAGGGGCTTTTATATGTCTGCTGCAGGTTGTAGAGCCCAACTGATTATTGCTCAATTTTTCAATATTAATGGTGTTTACAGTCGTTAATAATAACAATTGTCAGTCTTACCATTTGCCTTTTGGGGTTAATTATAGTGTGGTTCTAAATCTGTTTTATGATTTTTTTCTTAGCACAATGACATGTTAATAACAAGAGGTTTTCTTTCATCATGCTAATTGCATTTACATGGTGGGTGCGTGGGCTCCACTGCGCATTGTACTGTGTCAGTCAGAACAAAGTGATCAGAAAACATCAGCATCTTCATATAGAATCATATGCATGACCCATGTTCTAGGCCTCATTCCTGTATATCATTAATCTGGCACAGGGAACTTTAGTTTGGTTGTAGATTCAATCTAGTTTACAGAGTTGTACTGTGCATGTGTGTACTGTGCACTTGTATTTGCTATTTTGCCAGTAAATTCCATTCTGAGACTGCTACTAGATTATTACTCTATTGAAATGCATTGTTTTCCAGATATATTATTTTCATGCAGAGTGGTGTCCGAGTGTGTGATGACTCTAAAACAATAGAGTTTTCTTGCATATAAGGTTCAGTTTTATCAGTAATTAGTTGGCCCATAGACTAAAAAGTTAAACCATGGAAAATCCACAAGGCAGTAAAACACTTTGCCTGCTTTTTAATGTTTCTTTCATCTCTAAACACAGAAAAGGAAATGAAGAACATTCCAGTACTGGCATATATAGGTTAAGCTTAATCTCTTTCCAGAAAGCCTTTAAATCTTGCTGTAAACCATTGTATCTGAATCTAATGGCTGCATGTTTTTGTGTCTGTGTCCTGTTGTACAGATGTGGGAGGAGGCTATTATTCTGGGAAAGGAGCTGGCTGAACAGTACGAGAACGAGATGTTCGACTTTGAGCAGCTGAGTGCTTTACTGGTACGCTAAAGCTTAATGTTTCTGTCTGACTTAGGAATTAGCACACAGTGTACCGCAGGCATGACATTCCCCATATCATATGAGGAGTTGCTCTGAGCTCAGTTGAAACATTATAGATTGTCCTGAACACTTTGCTCAGATGAGGCTGACTTACAGCAAACCCTTAGGCTCAGGTGGTGAAAGGGCATTTTCTTATATGATTCATTCTACCAAACTGTTCAAAACGTATTTCAGATTTTTAACTGACTTGAGCTTCAGACTAAAGTTCTTTTTGCTTTGAATAACGCTATACCTTAATTATGTTTATTTTTACACTACCAAAACTTTACCAAATGTCTTGATAGTGACAGTTTTAGCTAATTTTGAGAATAAGTTAAAAATGCTAGCCAGTACATGATTAGAAAACACAACTTTAAACAGTTGCATGCACAAAAAAACATGATAATTCTTCATTGAAACACAAAAAAGTTTCCTTATTTGAAGAAAATTTTTGTTTCAGTAGTAACAATCCTAAGGTTACACACAGATTTTTAGACTTTGGACACATTTACTTCAAAACAGTGGGATCTAACTGCTCATGATAAATCTTAAATCTTTAAAAAATAAATAAATAAAAAAAGATTAAGTATTATTTTCACAAGTTGAGTTTAGGGGTCAGGGTTTGGGACAGCAGTGTCTGAATAGAAAGTACCCTGTAAATGATGGTCTTCTGTATGTTCAGCTTATTATTATCTCAATTAATGTCTTTGGATTAAATAGATCTTAACATAATCCTTGTGCATATCTAATGTCTGAACACTTAGTTGTTATTTTTGTAAAATTTTATTAATACAGTTTAAACTACAGTACGTTGGTCCATATAGCTCCTAAACCGGAATACTTTTCCCTGTTGTGGTATTGTTTCACTTAGACTATTTTTTAAGCTAAAGTTTAACTTCCTGTGTAAAGCTCTTTGATGGTCATGCAAAAATAAATGTTAGCTGCTTTTGGTACATAAAATCACACAAATGTCATAAGTGGACCTCAGGGGGAAAACATAACATACAAGAACAAATGTAGGATATGGGCCCTTTAAGGGAGACATTCACATGTCATTGTTGTCATTTCAAATCTGTGTAACTCTTATGCCAGAAGTCCTTTACATTTTGTTAGCGTCTCATGGTGAAGAGACCAATAGAGATGGTCCAAAATCCCTTAACAAAATAAAATCCTGTTAAATTAACAGTAAAACTTAAAATGTTTTTTTGTTTTGAAGATGAAAATTCTGTTAAGCAAAGATGTACTGTGCACACTCTTGTTTTAGCTAATACTGATGGTGAACTTTCAATGCTGAAAATGTGTATGTTATTTCATTTTCTCTCACAATCACTCTTCTGTTTTCCCCTATAGAGGAAGCAGGCACAGTTCTATGAGAACATAGTTAAGGTGATCAGACCAAAACCGGACTACTTTGCTGTGGGTTATTATGGACTGGGCTTCCCTTCCTTCCTCAGGGTGAGTTACTCATGCTTATGGATGAATGAATGAATGAATGAATGAGCTAATGAAGCAAGTAATAAATGACTGAAAGATCCATCACCCAATGCTCTGCTGCACCCACAAAACCCTTGTACAGGTAACAGGTATCGTTCTCGTATGTTTTAATCAAAACACTTGGCTTAAATACATCTCCCTCTATTGTGACTCAGCAACAAATCTGAAGCCTAATTTTTTTTCACACTATATGAGCCTGCTATTTGAAAGCAGCAAAGCGATAATAAGCGCAACACTGATTGTCCTTTGCCTGCAGATGTTATTCAGAGCCTTCCACTACTATATCACCAGTCAGATTTCAAATGGGGCTTTTCAGAAGGCACTGACATTGATTTGATCTTTCCGTTCAGCCTGCTGCCACACGTTTTATAGACTTCTTTACTGCCTCTTGATGGTAACACATGGCCCTTTAAACTGTTCAGCACACTGCAAATCAATTAGCCGTACTCCTGTGTGCCCTGTCTGCCCGAGTATGTCCCTCGTCAACTCCATGGGTGCTGGAGAGGTCGTCCAGTATTATAGTGTCTGCATTGAGCTAACTATGTCACGGAGTCCTCTAACCTTTCTCTCTCTTCCTTTCACTCTCACTTTCATAGTGTGTGAAATGTCGGTTTCGCATGTTCTCCATCCTTGCTGCTGTGCCATGTGAGGACATGTTGGTTTTCCACTCATATGAGATGGAGCCATTGCGGCTCTGTTGACACTCTTTACGTGTATTTTTAATGAGGAAACTAGATGGTAATAACCATCAGCTTTTGCCCAGGCTTGCCATAGCAAAACACTGAAAAACAGTGCCTACAGGAAAATTATTTTGATAACGTTGGAATAATGCTCAGCGTAAAATTGGGAAATGTATTAAAGCTGCAGGTTATTATTGGGTAAACGAGAACACAATTCCCCCTTTTTCTAGCGGAGAAAAAAAATGGTATCTTACCGTTTGTTTTGCTAGATTATAGTTTACAAGTGGTCAGCCATGTCATCAATGGAATCCATTTGTACTAAAGAGAATAATTACATATTATTGTTCAGCTTGTTGAGTGGCTGTTGTTTGTAGGTATTCATTTCTGTTTTGCTAATTTAGATAAATGTGGTGAGAAGGGATTTAGCTCCTGCTGATATCACTGTTTAGGTTTGCCGTGTCCTCGCCACTTGCTGGCATACTTAATGATTAGGACTAATCAATAGCTCCAATGAAGGCACTTTGTTTTCTCCGAACTGAATTGATTTTAGGCACTGGAGCTCCACTTGTCTGCTTATGATGGTGTCTGTTGCTTATGCGCTTAAGCGTAGTGAAAGTCACACTCAGTGGAATTGAATAGCTGGCAAATTCAGTAGTTATGAAGCTCTTGGTTATTGCGATGGCCCTTAGCTTGTGCCGCAGGCCTGGAATAAGAATGCATACAAGACATCCAACATCACAAAATGAAACAGTTTGCATGCTTTTACAAGCAATGTGAAGGTAGAAAAAGTAAAAGAATTTAAAAAGACATACATAATTAAACAGGGTTATTCACAGCCTCTGTGAGGTAATATATCTTTTCAAATTCTATAGGTTTATTCAAACAGTACCTGATTTTCTTCTAATGTAATGGGATCTTTTACATACACTTCTCAAAGAACCAAACTCTCTGTGGGCATAGTTGATGTTCATCTTCAAACCAAGCTGAAGTTGGCTTCCCATTCACCAGCTTCTTAATTGAATGTTCCATTCCACCTTAAAGGCGACAGCTTGTACAGACTCCATGATGTAACTGTGGCACCATATAAGGTGGAACGGAAAAACAAGCTGGCGAATAGGAAGTTTCCACATCTTTAACAGGATCCTGGACAATACTAATTTAAAGTTGTTAGTTTGTTCTGCACATTTCACTCTGGACGAGCCTTGGACAATATTGAGCAGGCTTTGCTCAATGTTTGACACTGAAGAGACAGAGGGCAGGTCCAACTTTATTAGCATCACAACCCCAACCACAGCCTATAGATAACCAGCCATGCTGTGTGATTTTATCCACTTTTTAGTGGGTGAAGCCAGATGATCTTAAATTGAAAGTTTCATAGTAAGCTAACAGCTTTAATTTACTTTTTGTTGTTGAGATCGAAAGCAAGTAACTAGTACAGGTAACGTAACATAGCAAACTAACTAGTATGATGACCTAGCCTGTACACGGAGGTTCATTTTAGTTTCCTGGCTGTGTGAGCCGACATGGTGCCAAGCTTTACACCAGCAAATCAGAGCAGAGCTCATCAAATTATTCATGAGCCCATCAAAAAAGGGAAAACAGCTTGTTTCATTCTAGGGTCAAATCATTGGGTTGTAAATGGGCATGTAAGACGGCATCTAAGCATTTTTCACCCTGACCAAAGTCACATCTCTGATGTCTACATAGAAGATAATAATTTTAGATACTGAATAAATGCATTCTATGGCAGCTTTAAAGTAGTGGAATGTATGCAGGACTTTGTGACAAAATGTCTAGTGTTAATAGAACAGCTATGAATATATTCATCCCAGATATCACTAGCTATATACACCTGCTGGAAACAAGTGAAGGTTCCATATAAGTACAGAACACTAGCTGAATGAATACTTTTTCATTCTTGCACTTGGCCTGTTTGGATGGAGAAAGTTAAAGACTGTTGGCAGTGGTGAGTAGAAAGGGTTTTAGTCTACAGTGTGACCATTTGCATATTTGAATAGCATTATAAATGACTAGATTTTCCTAGTAAAGAGGTTAGTTGATTGGTCTAAGACAGGCACGCTGCATCCATATATTGTGGTGCACAAGCCCCTCTTTTTGTCTTAAACCAATCAGCATATTGGAAGAGTCAGAAAGTAGTAGCTCTCACAATTACGATCAAGTAACAATAAAGGACATTTGGTAGAGTCAGCTCATTAGATTTAGATTTACTGAAGTGTTGTCTACTGATTTTATTGGCCTTTTAGTCATGAATAAACAAAGGCACAGTAGACCTCAGGTCATTGACTAATGACAAATAGACAAATAAATAAATGAATAAATATTTACACAAGATATTACAACTATAGCAGAAAAATCACTTTGCTTTGACCCAGTCCAGCAGAGAAATAAGCTATAATTTCTAGAACTGAACAAAACAAAAAAAAATGTTTGTTATGCAGACTTTGGAATATAAATAAGTAGAACTTCATCTGCAAAGAGATTTTGTTAATTGTGCAATTAGTATTATTTCCTTAAATTCCCAGATGGGCCCATATATTCTCTGCAAGATGCGTGATTCGCTACACAAACAAAAGAGGTGACAGCAGCCTTGCCTCGTACCTCAGTGCAAGTTATTGAAGATCTTTTTTGACTAGTGAGCATTCTTGTACATGGACTTCTTTAAAGTAGCCTAATATTTGAAATTAAATTATCCTCACTTTCTTAATATTGTAAACCGGTAGGACCACTCACTTTGACCAAATGCTTTTTATGCATTTCAGCAAAAACAACAGCAAAGTCTTATACAGTTACATTAGATAACAGAATGTTGAGAAGGCATATAAAGCTGTAAAAGGAATTGTACTTTAGTGTAACTGTTCAGAATGTACTACTTTCCAATCACCAGGCTTATGCTATGTGACAGGGTCTTGACTATGGCCGAGTATGAAAATTAGTCACTGTTATGGTACCGACCAGAGTGCTGTATTACTACTGAGTATTCAAAAATGATCATGATCTAACAAAACTGAAAAATTCTTACAAACCACATTCTTGGACAAGAAAGTATATTTTTGGACATGAATGTACAGAAATATAAGTCACACAGCCGTCACATTTGATCAGTATTCTGATTAAACAAATCATTCCGACTGTCATTCCAGCAGTAAAGGAAGCCTCCTGAATCTTTTATACAATTATATAATATGTGGTGGCACACAGAAGATGCCTGTTGTACACACTGAAACGTTTCAATCTGGTCAACATACACACACCGTAATTCTTCTGGCAGCAGATTTAAACAAGGCTTGAGCTTTTGTCTAATTTCAGAGGCTTTATGATCTCTAAAATTTCCTCTAGTGTGTTTCTGCATCTTCATCATACTTACATAGACTTAAAGTGAGTAATTTACACCGATCTAAGAAATGTTTGTTTAAAGAATTTGTTTCTTCCTTTTTAAATTAAATGCTTGATAGGATATAGCCCCACCTTTTAAGTAAGCCTTGAATGTTTCATAAAGTAAAGTTAGTGATGCCAAAGGTATCATTAGTCTCAAAAAACTTGATTTAGTGATGCAAATAAGTACAGAAAGCAAGTTTGTGTTGATCTCATTTTTGTGTGTCTTTTCTACACGTTCTGGAAGAGGGAAAGGTTGACTAAATTAGTGCTAACTTCTTATCTGATGATGAAAGTAATCAAATGTTCCTTATCCTTTAGATCTCTTATTTACTGAAATCTGAAATTAAAATTCCCTGCACACTAAGTGTCTCTCTCATGTCTGTGTGCTCTGTTTTCTGTTTTAGCTCGGAAAGATCAAAACTCTTAAGCTTTGCAAGAGTAGAACGTATTTAACATGTACACTTTCTCCTACCATTGCACTGTAATTATGAGCCACAGTGTTCTGTCATTTAGAACTTCCAACAGGCTTTGGAGTTTTCTGATGAGATTTAGAAATAGGTTCTTTTATCTCAGCTATATGAAGGTTCAGTCTCTGATGTTATCATCAGTTATATAACTACTCAGTCTAAAATGCAGCCCAAATGCAGTAGAAAACCTGTGATTTACTACCTACCACAGTCAGTAAGTTGGAAACAATTTTTGTTTCTTTCAAGGGGAATGTTAAGTGATGTGCTCACCTGTCCCTGGCTTTATGAATAGCACGGTCACTCTGAACTTTTGGCGCTATCATGCTGAAAGCGCGTGCGATTTGTTACCAAATTCAAACTGCTTTTGTTTTACTCACTGAGCAAGCTTGCTAGCCCTTACTGCAGATGTACTGAAGCAGAACACTGTTCAAAAAGGCATTACTAAAAGTCAGTGTAGTCAGTATTACTCACTAAATGATAGAGGACCATGGCTGAAGTGATATGAGTACAGTGTCTCAGCGATCTGAATCCACTTGAAATGCTGAAACAGCGAGACAGTTAAATTTTATCCTTTTCACTTGAGGTCCACTTATAATGTTTGTGTGGCTTTATGTACCAATAACAGTGATAATTTATTTTAAATGATCATTTCCATCCTCTCTTTATCCCTTAGAATTAAACAGGCTGTTTTTGTCACTGAATCTTTAAGACTGGTACATGTAAAGAGTGTCTGTTCTAATTGCCTGTATGGTGCCTCATTCAAAAAATCAGTTCAGGCTGAAACACTCTTTAAATCTCCAGTGTGAATGGATGGCGCTAAACTGCTACAGGCTGAGCAGGCAGTTGTATGTCAATTGCTTGTTTTCCATGACATTAGAATATTAGTGAATTCAGAATGGACTATTTTGCAGCTTTGTTTTCATATACGGGCTGGGGAGTGACAGGTACATTTTGCAGCTATCAATGTTAGTATACTACATCAATCTATTTTATTAAAAAAAAAAGTAAGAAAAATGTGTTTTTTCAAGATATATGCCCTTAAAATAAAAGTCAAATTTAGCATTTGATGATTCTTTTTAATTAATACACACCACCAGATGCTGAGCTTCTTCCCTTGTGATGCTCAACTGTGTCTGTAGTGCAGCCATTTTCAGTTCTTGGTTCTTCTGAGGTTTTTTTTTGTTTTGTTTTTTTTATTATTTTATTTATTTATTTATTTATTTTTTTTAAAACCTTTAGTCTTGTCCTCAGTAAGTAATTATATGCTCAGTGGTGTTTAGGTTAAGTGATTGATTTGGCCAGTCAAGAACTTTGTCCAACATTTCAGATCCTCCTGTCCTCCTGCTGCAAGGTGAAGCATCATCTTCTGAGTTTTGAGGCTCTTGGTTGAATCTGAGCATTAAAGATGCTTCTTTACCTTTCAGAATTCATTCTGCCGCTGCAGTCAGCAGTCATGTCTTGTCCTTTCTGGTGTTTACCTCTGCGTACTAAACCAGGCCGGAAAAAGAGCTGTTGTCATAAATCCTGTTGTGTTGATGTGTGACGCTGTGGAGAGACCACCCCCCCCACCCCAGCAGGAAATAGAAAACGTGTTGCGATTGCGTTTCGTTTCCTCAAAGAGCCTCTTTGGTATGCGTGTGGAGCCGTCTGAGGTGCAGCAGCTAATTCCACCGTGACCCGAATAGCTGCTGGCGTGAACGTGTGTGCGGAGAGCGTGCTGCTGTTTGTCATCTTATCGCTCAAAGCAGATTTGAAAACCACCCCAGGCATTTTTCATCTCTGCAGTGCATTTCATTAATTGAAAGACTAAAACATGTTTGTTTAGGTGGTGTGTGTCAGTGTGTATGTTTGTATATGTGTATGTGTCCATCCACTTCTGCACACGTGTGTTTGTATAAGCTGAGCGAGCTGTCCAGGTGCTCATGCACACCTCAGTTCTGTCCTAATGCACATAATGAGTCTGGGAACATATGGGTGCCTGAGTAAGCGCAGCATGTTTGATGAGCTTTGAAAGCTTTGTATTAGAAATGTAAGCTAATTGCACATTTTCAGCCTGTCACAGTGCCTCAGAATCAACTGCTTGAGCTGTTTGTGGACACATCAAATCTCTCACTGACATAGCTGCAAAAATGGTCTCTCTTCTCATTTGATGTTCAACAGTCATTTTGGATCTCAAGGCATTTTTGTAGACTAGTGATTAAAATCCATTTTGCAAGATGATGGTTATATGTTAAGGTTATTGACATGATGAGCATGTTGTGTGTCCAAGTCCATTATTTTCCAAAAAAGTAATTTAATAAATGCATGGCATACATCAATCATATATGTCATGTACAATCATTTAGGTCATGTACAATGTACAATAATTGAACTTCAAAAAAAGCTTAAGTTTGGTAATACTTTGAATGAAAAATCAAAAGAATAAGCAATAAAGAATGTTCTCACAGCCTCTTTTGCTCATGATTACCAGGTGTGCCAATATTTGTGGAGGGCTCTGTATGTTGATTAAGTAAAGTAAAAAGGTGAAGCATTGGGTTGGTTTCGAAATTCACATGGTTTGTTCCCACCCTAATAAGCCCACGTTCCCACCCACATTTAGCCCAAAATTTCTCAGTTTTCCTCAGATGTTCTCAATGCAACAGCACATATGGCCCTTCGAGACTAAGTGTATTCAAAATTAAGTGACGTGGCACCCTCTCCTAAGCACTCTGCCATCACTCGATCAGCAGTTCAATGCCCAGTTTCCCACATGCTCACAGCCCTTTCTGTTCAGCATGTCTGTTGATGAGGTGCTCACTGGGATGATTCAGGTGCCCTACATCCGTTCTGGCGACCATGTGTGCGAGTATGAGTGTGTGTCTGAGAGAGAGAGAGAGAGAGTTCAGGGAGGGTCCTGTCCCAACCGCCTTTTGTAGCAGAGCGTGTTTGGAGCGCATTCAATAAGCCAATTTCCTAAAACGGCAGCATTGCTGGCGAGCTTGCCATGACCTCGGCTTCCAGAGAGAAGTGCCAAAAGCGGTGCCTCCACCGTTGTCCTCTTCTTGAAATGCAGATTACCGTGATGCATTTTAAAGCGCACTTTGCTGAAAGTGCTGGCAACCGCAATTTAAGATTCAGTATTTAAATTACACTACAACTGTCTTCAGGCATCTGTCTTCAGAACACTGCTCACATATCTTGTTTTTTGCCTCACGAGTGCTGCAGGCCCCTTTTTAAATTTGTACTGTGTCGGCATTGCACTTTTAAATGTTAATAAATGTACATACGTGAGGGCCTAATGACTAATTTACTGATTACATTGTGTTATTGGTGTGTTTGTCCAAGTACTAAGGGAGTTGAAACAAAACTTGCAAATTAAATTTTCCTACCAAAGATTTGAATGTCTTGCATGATGTGTGTGCAGATTTTACACAGCCTTTTTAATATAATATTTCTGTACGTAAGAATTCAGTTGTACTTTATACATGTATTGCTTGCATATGATAATAGATTTGTGAAGTAGATGTTTTTTTGTGCTGTGGGGTTATTCTATATGCCATGTAAATGTACAGCATGTTTGTCAGCGATTGGGGGGGGGAAAGGCTAATACAGCACGACTGGCAATAACGAACAGACACTGAAGCCCGTAGCGACTGTACTGCTTTGTTCCTTTGTATGTGGTGCCCACATCCAGTCAGAGCTTTTCCAATCTATTCCTCAGTGAAATGAATCCAGATCCAGATAATTTGCTGGACTAATGATGACTGGGACTGACTAACACTGGCACAGCACTAAGTATCTAAGTAAAGTGTATTCTGTATTTATGTATACTGTAGACAAGCTCCTAGAGCATCCTCAATGCAGTGGCCTGTCGCTTGTTTATTACCATCTGTTTGTTTGTTCTGGTCCATGCGGACTGGCTACAGAAGGCTTCTCTTTGTCTGTGTTAATGAGGTTTCCTGCTTGTGGTGTTCTGCAGAACAAGATGTTTATCTACCGTGGAAAGGAGTATGAGAGGAGGGAGGATTTTGAAGCCAGGCTGCTCACGCAGTTCCCCAATGCTGAGAAGATGAAGACCACCACTGCTCCCAGCGAGGACCTCCGCCTGTCCTCCGGCCAGTGTATCCTTTCACAGTGCTTATGGCATCCACCACTATCAGTGCTTGGATGAGCTCAGCAGCAGGCCCCATGTCATATTGTTCACAAGTTATTCAGTTTAAGATTCATGTGTTAACTTACTCCCTTAATTCTTTATTAACATACTCACTCACTTAATTACTCATCTATTTATTCACGTACTTAACCACTCACTTATTTACTCATTTACTTAATCACTCATTTATTTACTCACTTATTTACTCTTTTACTCACTCACTTATTTACTCACATACTAATTTGCACACTCTTTTACCTACTTACTTATTTAGACACTCACTTATTTACTTACTCCCTCACTTTCTTATTTACACACTCATTTAATTACTTACGTATTTACTTACGTATTTAATTACTCACTTGCTTACTTACTCCCTTACTCACTCACTCACTCACTCACTCACTCACTCACTCTGTTAATTACTTATTCACATTCTGACTTGCTTACTTATCTTTATCAGAATAAGAATCAGAATCAAGCTTTATTGGCCTGGTATGCTTGCACATACAAGGAATTTGCTTTGGGTTACAGGAGCTCACAGTGCACAATATCTGTATTTGCATTTTTCCTCCCATTAAGCTTTGGATGGCGTATGTGATTTCCTTTAACTTTTTTGTGTGAAGATATTCAGTGTTTCACGGTGAAACCTATACTTGAGCTCCCTCCAAAGTTCCAGAACAAGCCTGTGCCTGAACAGATTGTCAGGTATCATCACCACCACCACCACCCTCATTTGTCAGCCAAGAGCCGCATTCATGAAACAAAGATCAGACTCTAAATCACAGTTTGGACACGGATGTACTAGCAGTGGAGCGAAAATAATCGATTGCATGAATTTTGTTTTTAGTAGAGTAAAATTTAGTCTTCCCATTGCTTCAGGTTCAGAAACATGTCTTTCCCAACTGCAGTCTTGTGGTGTCTAATAATGCTGATTGCATGAGCTGTCCTTATCCCAGTAAAAATGCAACCTGATAATTATTTTGGATGTTAACTGAAAAACAGACATCAAATCACAGATACCTTAAGCAGCAACCCAGCCCTGTTTTTAAAGTTGTTTTAAATTTAGTTCCTGAAGTGACACTGTGTGAAAGGTAACGCCTTTTAAATAGACAAGTGATTTTCTCTCTCTGTCTCTCTGTCTGTCTCTGTCTCTCTCTCTCTCTCCATCTCGCTGTCTCTCCGTGTCTCTGTTCTTTCAATCAGCAGCTTTTGCCAAACAAACTAGATGAGAATGAAAACCCTTCGCACATCCTGACTGTAGCTTGATCTGGCTGACGTTGAAACGCTGACTGTTCATTTTGATATTTTATTCATATTGCACTGTAATTACAGAATCTAATTCAAAAGCTTGCGAGACCATATGGCACATGTTTCTGAGAGAAAAGAGCGAAATAAGCCATGTTTCTTTGTCTCGTTGTCAGGGGAGGTGTGTGTATATGTGAGTGTGGGTGTACAAGAGTGCCAGATAGAGAGACAAGCAGAATGAGAAGGCTTTTTGATGTCTTGTGTGTCTGTCATTCTTCTGGTCACTTGTGTGTGAGTGCACGTGTGCCTGTCCCTCTAGTCTTTCCACCTTTTCATGAATAAATGAAGCCCATCCGCTCTGATGCAGGAAGCATTTTCTCCTTCCTGTTGCAGCGGATAGGAGCTTCTTCCGGCCTTCATGACAGCCCATACATTGCTACTGCCTCATGTTCCATTCATCCGAGACTTGACCTAATAACACTTCTCCAGTCACACTGTCACTGACCTCCTGCTTTTTATGTCTTGCAGCTTTTACACGATAAACGAAGTCAATAAGTTCCAGTACTCCAGACCCGTCCGCAAAGGGGAGAAAGATCCAGACAATGAATTTGCAGTATGTATGATTTTGTTACACTACTTACAAGTGAAGGGAAGAATTATTGTAAATGATCCACTGTCTGTCTTTAGTTAGGAAGGAGTAAGGCACAAACTAATGTGGGGTATGTAACTTACTTTTAATGTAGTTAAACAGGTTCATGCTGGTCATCTTGTGTTCTCATAGCAACATGACAGCAACTGGATAGATATTAGATATTTCTCAAGATTCATCTTGAGATTTTTGTATCATAAGTATTTTTTTTATTACTGAGAGGTCTGTGTAAGTCACAGCACTCACACTTATTTGTCCTCTTGGTCTATGAAACATAGCACCATTTTCAAGCATGTAAATAACTCCCTTAGCCAGGCTATTGTACAGCCTCCACAGTGTGGGGTTAGTTTTAACATGCTGGTACAACTAAGCCTCAGAATGAACACAGTGAGAGAAGTCCAGATCCCCCATAAAATCAAAATAGTTCATTTTCCAAAATGGCCAGTGTTTGATATTTTTCACATATTTATTTTTGATTCAGATGTTTTATGCTTTTAGGTTGGCAAAGCTCATCTGATTCAAACAATATCAAACTGTACTGAATTAAGTTTGTTTTTACACTATTTTACTACACTTTTCTAAAGACTGTTACAAATAGCCCCTTAGTTTGTAACAAATAGACCCACCGATAGGCCATATTGTCACATTTGCACTCATGCCACTTTTTTTTTTACAAACAGCAGGTGCTGGAAGCAAAGTTAACATTTTCATCTGTAGCAGAAATGTATAGTTTGTTTGTATATAAAATAAATTCATTTTGCTCTTGTATGTTTTTAATTATTAAAAAGTTTAAGGTTGTGCCTCTCTCTCCCCTGCTCACATCTTTCTGTAAGCATTCATTAAAGTGGGTACAGTCTGGCAAGGGAAAAGAAGTTAATTGGAATTCAGTGTAGTCTGTCATGTGTGAGTCTGTAATTGAGATAATGACCCTCTGTCTTTATCTCTATATCTGTGGTTAATACCTGTTTGATCTTTTTCTCAGAATATGTGGATTGAAAGAACCACATATGTAACAGCCTACAAGCTCCCTGGTATCCTCCGTTGGTTTGAGGTTTTGTCCATGTCCACGGTGAGTAGAGCAAGCAGTTTTATACTCTAATTAGGTTCTTTATTTCATTACGTTCACCAAAGATTTGTTTCTGAAAGCAGAACGAGGAATGCTTATTATTGTTTTATGCCAGACTGCAGTTCTGTACAGTTTTTGTTACTGTTGTGTACTGTTGTGTGCATATGTTGCTGAGAACGTACTGAGATGTGTGGAGTGAGAGACAGAGCTGCTGTATCAGTTAGAGGAAGTAGCTTATTAGCAGTATCCAAATGTTCCGCATGTCCTCAGTGGATCACTGTTCTGTCACTGAAATGAACAATTATGTGCAGAGTAATTAGTCTGGATTGTGTTCTGTAATCGTTTAGGCTTTGTTCAGGATTTTACTGTGTCTCTATGACAAAGCCACTTCGTTACTTCCTCCGCTTGAGAGCTTGACCCACGCTAATATCAATATCTCTCTCTCTCTTTCTCTCTGTTTCTCTTATCTGTCTCTCTCTCTCTCTGTATTTCTCTTCTCTCTCTTTCTCTCTCTCTCTCTCCACTCTCATACACAGATATAACTGGACATCCTTTTCTCAGTTCCTGCTCTCTCTCTCTCTCTCTCTATCGCTCTTTCTCTCTCTCTCTCTCTCTTTCTCTCTCTCTCTCTCTCTCTCTCTCTCTCTCTCTCTCTCTCTCTCTCTCTCTATCGCTCTCTCTCTCTCTCTCTCTCTCTCTCTCTCTCTCTCTCTCTCGCTCTCTCGCCCTCTCTTCTCTCGCTCTCTCTCTCTCGCGCTCTCTCTCTCTCTCTCTCTCTCTCACTCACTCACTCACTCACTCACTCACTCACTCTTCCCCCTTTTTGATGTTATCTCTTCCTCCTGGACCAGGTAGAATCCAGCTAATTATGCATTGTATGAGATTTGGTTTCAGAGGACACAGATACTCTGTCACACTACTTCTTCATTCTCTCGCATCCTTTCATTCCTCTCCTTCCTCTCATGAGTATAGTGTAGTTTAGCATTATCTCATTACCTAAATGAACTGCTTGCTAGACATATTTCTGTAGTTAAAAGTAGTGAGTCATATGTATAACATACACTTTCGTGGTTGTTCATTTAACCCTAGTATGATCATTCTGACGTGTATGCACATGTACAGTGTGCACACAAAGCCTTTTACTGCATTTGATTTTATATGAGCCAGGCAGTAATTGTGGCTAGGAAGTGTTTTGTGATTGTGTTTGACCAGTCAGTGGTCTGCAATACTTTTAGCTCCACTCACACAATCAGGCCCAGCATGCTTTGTGCCCCAGCTAGAAGGGTTGCCAAATTCAGCATGTGTACTCAGGTGTTGTACAAGCCACTTGACTGTGGAAATGACAAAATGGATTTGGAAACCAGACTGTACTGTAACACACTGTCCAGTGGAATACCTGTATAAAATGATTTTTTATGCATAAAATAGTACTAAAAATCATTAATTTGACACTTTTTGTTTTAATACAATGAACCCTGTGTTGGTTATTTTTTTTCATCAGGAAAGTTTGGTGCTGTTCATATTTTTCAACTAAAAAGAAAATGTTTGTGCATGAGGGCATATAAATATCCCTCTATGACTTTCTGTCAATCGAATCAGAATTGTTCTTGAGAGAATTGTGATGAATCTAAGAACTGATTCTTTTTTTCACTCCTAATTTTAGTAAATAAATAAATAAAATGACAATGTCCAACTGGCCTGCTCCTCTGCAGTAGAAGCACTGAGCTCCTTTATTGTCCTTGGAAGCTTTTCTTTTCCCAACGGAACCTCACAGCTCACCCTGAGCTCTGTATGTGTAGCCACAGCTAGTACAAATCCCCCATCTGATGCCCAGACTGGAGATTTTTTTTCTTCTGTTCATTCTCAATTACCCGCTCACTTGGTCAAACACATTCATTTCTCCCTCTCTTTTCTCTCAAGTTCTCTCTCCCTCCCTCTCTCTGCCTAATGTGTGTTTTCATATATTTCTGTGCATATTCAGTTGTTGTTGTTTATTCCGACAATCCTCATGTTGTTCTCATTAGCTATTTTAAGAAGAGTGTGTTGTCGCCAGGAACAGACGGATTTGTTTAGAATTTCACTGTCGGTCTGTCACGGCACGGTGTGAAATCCTTCCTACAGACTGTGAATGAGTAATGGACAACCTGTAGGCAAATACCCTGCAGTCCCAGCAGTAAAGAAGCAGGCGAGAGGATTACCTCTTTAAACCCTGATCAGAATGCTTTGTGAATGGATTCTTATTTTAGCTGTTCAAATTGGGGTAGATGTGACATTTTTCAAGGTTCTCATGGCAGATTGGATTTCTCATAGCAGATCATAGCAGAGAGCATAGCATATAGCATTTTTCTCAAGACAATATTGTTGATGATGCAAACTTACAAAAGAAATAAAGTTTACCATTGCATTCTTAGATGTGGGCTGCTCTTTGGTAGCAGTCTGTCACTTTCTTATTGCAGTGACTGAGCCTCTCTCTCTCTGTGTCTCTCTCTTTATAGGAAGAGATCAGTCCTCTGGAGAATGCCATGGAGACAATGCAGCTGACCAATGAAAAGATCAACAACATGGTCCAGCGCCATCTCAATGATCCAAACCTTCCCATCAACCCCCTCTCTATGCTCCTCAATGGCATTGTGGATCCTGCTGTCATGGGTGGATTCGCTAACTATGAGAAGGTGGGAGAATACTCTTTAGTAACTCCAAAATACGTGTTTCAGAGAAGGTACTTTACTAATTACTTTCATAATCTCCTCTGACTCATACACATGCAACCTGCTTGGGATAACTGGTATTTAATGCTAAGTGATAAAGCACAAAGTGCTTTGTCATTTATTCCTAATGAAAATTAAGTGCTGGAAAAGAATCTGAAAGCTGTTTTGTCTAATAACGACTTTGTACCATTATGAGATTCATTTTATTCTGTTGTTAATCAGAGCAGCAATATCCAAATTGTTGGTTTAGGTTGTGAATTTGTATGGGAGCAGCTTAAGAGGTACCTGCATTTTAGTGTACTACAAAGGGAATAATCTTCCGTGACTGCATGAATCAAATGAAGGAAAAACAAAAAATGAAGTGCCATCAAGGAAGCAGCAAAGGGCTCATCAAGCACACCAACGACTGTTTACTTTCCCTCGATCTGTCTCCTTTATGTAAAACAGAGTGAAACAACGCTCAAGTTAATGTGTTTTTTCCCCAACTTTGAATTTTCAGCGTGTGCTTTTACTCATCCGATTTTTCTCACTTCATCTAAGTAAATAAAACCTATTTAAATATATAAAGACGTCAGTGTCCATCTACCCTAGTGATCCTTAAAAGAGTGAATCAGGGTATCGATTTTCTGTTAACACATTTTAGTGCTCCACAGTTGATCAAATTTAAAATCCAGTTTTTCCAAGGTTTAAGACATCAAGGGATGTTTTTATTGTACGCATGTGCCCTGGATGTGTTATTTTTAATTCATGTATGAAACTAAATTAAAAACTGTCTTCTCTCTCATGTCACCTTAGGCGTTCTTCACAGACAAGTACATCCAGGAGCATCCTGAGGACCAGGAAAAGATTGACAAGCTGAAAGACCTTATCGCCTGGCAGGTAGGTTCTGCAAACCTCCTCCCGAGTATACCTCCTAGACTGTCATACAACCAGGTATGATTTTGAACACCTGACAGGTGAAAATCAAGCGGAGCACCTCTTGACAAATCCTGCTTCAGCTGTCAAACAGCTAGGTAGGCTTCGTAAAATGACATAAGCAATCATTCTGATATTTCTCTTTATAAGATAAATTGTTCCACTGGCACTTTATGCATAAATTCTTTTTTTCTGCACTTCTGCACCTTTCAGATTATCTCAAGTGAAAATATTTAACCAATCCTTTAGTTTTTCTGTATATTTTTGCAATGTTTGTACTATGGCCACTTAGCAGATTAGGCCTTAAAAGGCTGAGAATCCACCTGTAAGGATGTCAGCCAGGTTTGGGTCAAGTCAAGCTCTATACTCGAGCACCATACATGAACTGGCTAAAAAAACAGTTTACAGAGATAATTAAAAACTGTCCAGTGTGAGAGTGATCTTGGCTTCCTTGCTGCTACTAGAGACAGCAGTAGCTTCTGAATTTTCACTACAAGGTGACATTCCATACATTCCTGTTTGCTGAAGATAATGTTCTTTCTCAGATCTTTGGAGCACTTTATCTATACAGGACAGACAGAAGGTAAAGATAGGTGAAAGTATAATAAAAAAAATGTAATGAATATTCAGCTCTGTACTGTTCCGTTCGGTTACAGGAGTCTGAAAGGCAGTTGGCAGCAGGATCATAAAATCCTCACTAATAAAGTTGTGAACACAAGATGAGATCACATGAGACATCCTAAAAAAAACTCCCCAGAAGGTGCACCAGCATATGTGCTCCCAAATGTTCATAGGAACCAGCATATGTCTCAGTGCAAATGTGTAGAAATACATAATTTCTGAATACTCCTATAGGTAAAAATAACCTACTTAACCTACCTTTTTCCTGGTTTAAGTAGCAAGGCTGGTTAGTGCGTTATCTCTATGTTTGATCAGTCTGGTCAGTAATAAAGAAACAGAGCACACAGCAGCTGCTGTGCTGCCAGTATTTTTATTAGATGGCACATAATTTCGTCCTACCTCTATTCTGATATGTTTGTTTGTTTGTGTGTGTACTTGCTAGTGCATATTGTGTAACTGTGTTTACACTCAAATGTCTTCTCATCATATATTAGGGGTGCGGGAAAAAAACGATTCTTAGATGCATCGCGATGCAGACGTGAACGATTCTGAATCGATTCATAAATGTCAAAAATCGATATTCTAAATATTTAATTTATAATGTAATGTTGACGGAACGCAAAGGGGGGAACTTGGAAGTGGGTAAGTGCAGCGCCCGGACACTCTGTGGCGGCACACAACAAAAACACTACTGGATGAGTGAGAAGTCCGACCGGCTCCCTCTGCATTAAAGTCAGGTCAGGTCAGGAGTCACAACCCAAATGTTAAGAAGACGCCTGTCTTTCTCTTTTCCTTTTTCGTTCACTACTCGCTCGGAGAAACCTTGTTGCTATGTGACTTGCAGTCTTTCGCGCTCCCCCCCCTCTGTCACGAGACCAAAACCGAAGTTATGAAATCACTAAAGACTATATAATGTGCTGCATGGTCATCCATCACCACTGGATCTTATTTCACCGTAACAGCGCATTTTATCACAGATGAGTGGCAGCAGCTTCTCGTGCTCCAAACAAGAGCAGTTAATGAGAGCCTTCTAGTTCACTTGCCACATCACTTCCATTTGTTTTATTAATAAAAGATATTGGAAGTAAATTCATTACGGATCATTACAAATACTTTGTTTTAAAACTACCAAGTCCTCACACAGTAAGAAAATAGAAATCATGTATAGAAAAAAAAGATGCATCGATAATCGTTTTATAGTCGCATCGCAGCCCTCTGAATCGTAATCGAATCGTGAGGTGCCTAGAGATTCCCACCCCCATTATATATATATATATATGTGTGTGTGTGTGTGTGTGTGTGTGTGTGTGTGTGTGTGTGTATATATATATATATATATATATATGTATATATATATATATATATAAATCAGTAGTATGTGATTCTTCGATTTATATGTGACTTAATTCTGTTGTGTGTATGTTAAGCCTTTGAAAATGAATGTTTTTGAGTATCCATTACAGTTGTTGTTGTTTACTCACTCATCCTGTCCCAAAGGTGCATTTCGATTTGCTCTTCTGTAATATTTTTTTTTAAGCATTTGGATCCAAAAAAAATCTGTGCTCCATATGAAATTAGGGAGCATCAGCAGAGAATATGTATAATCTTGCTATGTAGATCACAGTAACAACAGGCTAAAGAAGAGTAAATGGTGGCACAAGCAGCCATTTTAACAGCTGCTAGCGTTAGGTGGTTATTACGCCAGGTGGTTACAGAAATGTTAGTTTTAACGAACTTTGTCAGCTAACAAAATGAAAATCTGTCAACTTTGCATAAAGTCAGTCAGGACAATCTCCTTTACAAGTATCTAATAACCCATATTTTGTTATATTTTATTCTCTTGAAAGTGTAAGTGCTTCCAATGAAAGCAGTCGTTTGAAACAATATTGTTCATCATGATCATGTGACATGTTACCTGGGATTTGGTTGGCTGTTTCATGAAGATAAAGGTTGATGATATTCCAGTTGGATAACTCACATCTGGTCAACGATGAAAGTAGCTCATTTTAAGTAGCGATATATACGAACAAAACAGACTGTCTTAAACTCTGGTGTAGTCCAGTACATTATGGGTTTTGGTTTGTTTCATGATTTTCCACATTTGAAGTCTAAATCAAGGGCAACACAGTGGCGCAGTGAGTAGCGCTGTCACCTTACAGCAAGAGGGGCCTGGGTTCTTTCTGTGTGGAGTTTGCGTGTTCTCACCGGTTCCTCCCACAGTCCAAAGACATGCAGTCAGGCCAATTGGACACACTAAATTGTCCCTAGGTGTGAGTGCGTGTGTGAATGTGTATGTCTGTGTGTCTGCCCTGTCTGTCTGTTTCCTGTCTTCCGCCCAGTGACTGCTGGGATAGGCTCCAGCTCCTCCCGTGACCCAGAAGAATAAGCAGCTTAGAAAATATGTATGTGTGGGAGGTCTAAATCAACTACAACTGCCATAACATTAAAACCTGTGTGGAAAAGTAAATGTACACCACTGCTGGCTTGGCACGAACATGGCTTTGCCAATCCCGTAGAAATGCTAGCAGAAATTATCACCATTGTAGCTGCTTTTCTTTTTTAAACATTGCTGTGCATGTTCTTGATTATATCACAAAAAATTTAAAAGGCCAAGAAATGACTGCAGTACCACCATCCAAACATTAATCTAACAATACAGCTGAAGTTTAGTTTTTTTTTTTTATTAATAACTTAAAGTAAATAGCAATAAGTCAACTGTAAACAACCAGTCTTGTTAATCAGCAAGTTATTGAAGTGGAAAGAACAGTTTAAAAATAGAAATTCACAGAGTCACATTTCAGAGAGAACATCTTAGCAAGTTTGCTATTATAAACAATAACATTAAAAGTGTCACATTCATGTGAACATTAACATTAACATTAAGTGGGTCCAAAGAAACAACAAAAGCTAGCTTCCAGTTAATGTCAGATACAATAGCATCAGACTAGTAAAGTTGCCTCATTCTAATTAACAAATGTCACCCAACAAGACAGAAATAGCACTTTTTTCCTTCTAGGCCATCGGCAGAAATGAACGTACTAGATTCGTCATTCGTAATCATTCATAATCAGTACACTGTTATATTTAAGTTTTTTCTCATAATAGTGTTAATGAGTGAACGTTCTGCCCTTCGTGCAGTATGGCTCCAGCTTATGTGTGTGTGATGAGTGATTATCAATACTGTGAGCTCTCCCCTTGTGCAGGTAGTTTGCTGGTTCAGGGCACACGTCGTATACACTTACCCTCAGCCCGTGACCCACCGCACTGCGTAATAGGGTCTGAAGGACTCGCTGTCTTTATAGACGTGGAGAGAAAGAAAATGACATGCAGAGGCCATTTTGTGAAGTAGCAAGCAGTCTATAACAGCTCTAACAGAGATGCAGGTGACTGAAGAAACTGCATAAGTGGCCATTTAGAGTGTTTGATGATTCTTCTATACAGTCACAATAGAGGTGCGTAATGAAAGTGTATCAGTAGTAAAGAGACTGTAAGAAAACGTTTAATATAATTTAGCACTTTTTTATTGACAGTGTGAGTATGATGGAGACAGAAAGGAAGAAAAGAGAAAAGAAGAATCTGTGGCTTGATGCGCATCATGACTCTACAGGGAGGTGATACCTGTCAGTCTTTTCCCCGTAGCACTGTCTTTCACCCCTGCAGAACTGATGGTGTTTTGATGCAGCAAGGTTTTGATCATTGTTTCTAATGCCCAACGTTGCTTTTCTCCCAGTTTACTGATGACAAGTCAAGTCAGCTAGTTCATAGCTTTAATGTGGCACAGATCATTTGATAACCAGGATGATGATCATTGTGTTGTGCTAGTATGGTGTTAGATTGATGTTATTAAAAGTCTTCTTTTGGATTTGTTCTCCTGTGTTTGTCTGAAGATCTTCTGGAGCTGACAACAGCTGTCATGCTTTCAGGAATCCTGTTTCTCTTTTCTCTGCTGTCTCGTTCTCAAATTGCTTCAGAAGTCAGGAATGAGCAGAGGAGAAAGTGCACACACCAAAGTGTACACAACACTACTGCAGCCAGTCTGCAGCTGCTTTTGCAACAAAGCAAAACAGACCAGACAAGTTTAAACAGAATATGTGTGGATGTGTAGTAGAACACAACAGCCCAATAAATTGGATCATGACTACATTCTGAGGTTTGAGATAATTGATACAATTGTGATCATTAATAATTCACTGTTTTAATTATGCATTTTTATATGAAACGTGTTTCATTGTTAGCATAGCAATTAAATACAAACTCAGGCTAGGAATTGTATTCAAAGACATAATTGCTAATCTATTCTGTGTGAATGTGGAGATGGTTGACGGTGGTATTTTAGCAGTCTG